ATATGACAATCTTTATTATCATCTGTTCTCAGTGGTTCCTGTCACAAACAGGAATTCCAGTGAAGATTTGCTGCTTTAACCATTAGGATTATATTGATATTACATAACTCATCTGCAACACTGACCTTTCTACTCCCGACACACATATTCACATTTAACACAGAGTAATGAATATATTTTTTTAAGCCAAAACAAAATGTGTATGTCTTTGACAGTTTCAGACAAAGATTCTCCCAAAACAGAGAACAACTCATTTCCTATTAACTACGCAGGATGCTGCTCCCATTGCTTTTTGTAAAATCCCCAATAATGTGAAACTCAGAATTGTTGGATGTGGTGGCTATGGCATCCCTGTGATGAGAAGGTACTTGAAAGTCATAGCCTGCGAAGACTTTTAACTTGCCTCAGCCTAAGTGCTCATGTGAGGTGTTCAACAAGAAATTCAGGATCCCTTATCTCTGCCTGGTATGCAGTAGTGGAAATCTGACAAAGCATCCTGAAAATGTACCCTGTGGACTCAGTCCTCCCAGCCCTTGTATTGTGCAGTCTTCTGTGGCTACGAACAGTGAGGAGCATAAAAAAATGCTATGAAAACACACCAGACTGTGACACTCTCCTGGTGACCAGTGCTGAGAGTCTCAAAATGGTATCCCACAGAAATAATCATGAAGAACATGCACTCCCTTTCAGCTATAATGCCTACCTTGCTCAGTCAAAGTGTACTCTTAACTAAATTGAAATACACTTAAAAAAGTGTAGTCTTAACTAATAAACTGTGAAAGGCTGAAATACCAGAAGACATTAACAAATGCTGACAAATTCAAAGCCTCCCACCTTAGACAAAAACCTTTCACTTTTCTATCTATGGGTAAACTGGACATTTAACTGCTAGCACTTAAAATATCCAATGTAGCACTCTCAGTGAAGAACACAGGTCAGATTTGCTGTATGTGGTTCAAACACTCCTTTTAGGAAATAATATTAGGAAATAATAATAAAAAAAGTTATATATTCAAACTACCTATCCGAAGATGAGAAAAAAAAAAAGACTGACCAGAAAGCAGTTTGATGAGAAAGACTAAGTGAACGCCTGCTTAGTTCACTTTCCAAAACCAATTTGCTGCTGCAACTTAACAAAAAATTCTGAGTTAAAAATTAATAATCCAGTTTGGGTAATTCTGTTATCTTCAACTGAGATGTATGCAGTTTTCAGGATTAGTGGCTTATCAGAAATTATTCTCCTCTTCTTTCTACTGAAATAAAAGCAGCAACACCTATTTTTTTTCTGCCCATTTCACATGACCATTTTCACTGGGAGTAGAAAGTTCAATAATATTGTGGAAGATTTTACCACAGGAGAATGAAAACCTTAAAGGTCCATTCCAACCTAAACGATTCTATGATTCTATGATTCCATGATACTAAAACATACGGCAAAAAGTTAGGAACCTCAACCTACTTAGGCATCATCTTCCACTAGTAGGTATACTGTTCTCAAGCGTTCAAAATAGGTAAGTCTAACCTGACACTGTTAGCATTTTCCTGAATATTGGTGGCACAACTTCACACGCTAACACATAACTCTGCAACAGTGGCTATGAACTAAAATGCGTTAAAATCAAGACCTACACAGCTGTTGAGGAACATGCATGGTCCCCAGTTCAGAAAGAAATAAAACCAGCTTGTATATACACTGCAGGTGTTGAACATGCTAAGGACAACATTGTTCACAGTTTTAACAGCATCTGTAAAGGAAGTGAAAATTTTTATCTATTCTTAGTGGTTTCAAGTGCTGCCTAAGACAGAAGTGCTCCCAATATGTGATTATTTTAGATGCTTCAAAGAATTTTTTTTCAAAAAGCAAGAAAAAGTGTGTGTAGGAAATCACTACCTGCCTCTTTCCAATGTCACTTTCACTTTGAGAGAAGGCTTTCTTTGCAAAACTTAAGAATACTTAAGAAGTATTAAGTTCTTCCACGTTACTTGCAAGTCTCTGTCAGTAAAACAAAACATCTTTTTGCCACTTAACAACAAAGACAACAACTTTTTTCTTCTTTTACATTTGTTTGGTTTTGGGTTCTTTTTAGGCAAGTCCAGGTCTAGGTCTGCAGAATATACAGATTCTTTTTTTCTTTTAAAAGGAGGCTGCATAGGGTGCAGGGAAGGGGATCCTCAATGGCTACTAAATTCCACCCACTCTCCCAACTGGCAATTACCAATACCATTGCTTCCACAAAGCTAACCCAGAAATGAACAGGAAAGCAGCCATACCAATGATACCCGCTCACTGCGAAGAAATGAAATATGTGCATTCCCATGAGCCAGCTGTCCTTCGTCCAGACCCATGCTTACAAAAAGTGACCGTCTCTGTCATTAATAGCACTCTAAGATTCCTAGCATTGAATAGGTAAGAGGTAAGCAGAGTCAGAAGAAAGGACTGGGTATCTGAACAGACAATGGGCTGTAGCCTTTAAGATGCCAGGCCCTTCAGCTCCAACCCTGTCAAGTCCCATAGTTAACACAGTCACATCGAAAAAACGTAACCAAAACCGGAAGATTTGGTAGAACTGAGGCCACAGTACCCAGAACCTTACAGGACTAAATCCTGTGATATGAAGGTTGCATTGAATACCAAATGATAAAGAAAACCAAACATCCTAAGCCTGCAAAGTTTATTACATGTCATGGTCGAGTGCATGGCAGTCACTAAGCAGTGGTCATGCAACAGCTTTCCTGGTGTGCGGCTCAGGGGAGATCCTGTGCTCTGAAGCAGCAGCGTGGGTCACAGCTAAAAGCAAAGTCCCAGGCTCCCTGGCTCACTGTTTTGATCCCTGATGGCAAGTCTCATGCCTGAAGAAATGCTTTTTAAACAGACCCAATAATGACTAATGCTGTCTGTTTCAAAAAAGCAAGAGTGCTTCATATTAATTCCTAGATAGTTCTGGTATTTGGTCTCATGGATTTGCTAAGAGTTTGCAAGCGAAGATAAAATCTTAAAATCCAAATAAAGCAATTTTTAGCAGATGCTTTAAGGTTCATAATAAGAGTAATGCCTTCTTTTTTTTTATAATTAATTTAAATTGTTTTCAATTACTCTTTCACAACAGAATGAACAATGCAAGCATGCCATTGTAAAGCAACCAGAAACACACCTGTGACCCTTTCTTCATCATGACAGTTGGAATTTATTCACTTAAATCCCCCATTTCGACACAACAGCAGTAACAAAGTATCTGTACACTACTTCTGTTACAAATATAGATACTATTTAAAGTGACTTTACATACTCTAATGTAGGCATTTCCCACTCTAACCAAGGAGTAAGTATAAAAGAGCAATTCAATAACAACATCATCCAGTAACAGTACCATCTGTTTTCTTTCATCTTAGTCTACCACATGTAACTTCTAGAATAGTTAAAGAGAAAAGAGGGTGGGTTTTTTAGTTAATTCAGTTAGACATAGCTATCAATTTGTTAATACTATTTCACAGACATTCCTAATACTGTTTTTATGTCCCACTAAAACAAATGCTAGCCTGTTGTATCTTCCCCTAATAATTGCCCGCATTTTCAGTTCAGATTTCTCTTAAATGACAACTGACATGGTGGCCTTCTTGCTACAATTTTTTTTGCTAATTAACGCAAATGGTCTTGCTGCTAATTAGCATGCTAATTAGCTCGGTATCTTTCTCCCTTAAAAGACTGGGTGAAATTTTTCTGCAGGGAGGTAAATCATGGGCAAAGTGTGCTTTATCTGCCAGATTCCTAAGAGCCAGTTTGAAGGAGCAGTGGCAAAGGCAGGCTACAATCAGCTAAAGGTTTCAGTGAGTGCAGTTTTTGCATAAAGTTTTAGTGAGGATCCCAGCTTAGGAAACTGAGGATGTTGACAGATCTATTGACCACACTGCTGCCCAAAGAACAGCTCCATGGTTGCATCACACTTACTAGACACTGCATTGTATTTGTGTCTCTAAAATTATTAACCCCAAAACAGTATTTGTGGGTCTCAAATCTCCTCTTCTGTTTAATGCTGAGGAAGAAAGACCTTAAGGGCTGTCTTACTACTCACCTCCACTGGGAGGGATTTTACTCACCCTGAACTCCAGGTTTTAGGCCTCCTCAGTCCAAGGAGGACGCTACCTTTGCTGCTACTGATAATGGCAGCAACACTATAACATCAACTTCTTCCACCTTGGCCTAAGCAATATCCACAAGTCTCTATCTGCAGCTAAGTAAACCAGCCCTGAGTCGTTTGTTCGCAGCTCTGATCCAAGCAGCTCACAGAAAAATCTGCACTGAGTCTGTACTTAATCTTGCACATTGAAAGAGGACAACCTTCGCTTACACACATTTCATATTGGGAAGGTCACTTTCACAGTCATACAGGCTAGAAAACACTACTATTATAAAGGAAAAGTCTAGTTCTTCTAATACTGCAGTTGCTGGGCACTTTCATTCACCAGGAATACCTTCCACTAACAAACGGATTTTTCAGCCCTGAGCACAAGCCCTCTCCTTTCAAACAAAAACACACACGCCCCTGCCTAAAAAAAAAAAAACCACGACAACCAAAAACCAAACCCTCAAACTTAAGCCAATCCAAAACACAGTTTTCATTTTTTGGATACACCATGACTTAGCAAATTTAAACACACAAACAGACAAGCAAAAAACCCCACCCAAGTTACCCACTCAGCTCCTTCTATTTGGGCATTGAGAAATAATACAAATAACCATCTAAGTTCATTAATCATCTGCCTCCAGATTACATACTTATCCTTCTTTTCCCCAAATCCCATATTTTGTTAATACTTTCTTTCTTCAAAAACCTTATTTCTGTTTTCTGACTACTGCTGCCCACGCCACCTCCTTGCTGACTTGGTGACTTTATCATTTTTCCAACGTATTTCAAATATCTAAAGCCTTTTAGCAAAACATTCCAGTTTCACTGTGTGGTTATTAATGCAAACATTCCTTTTTTCTTTTTCTTTTTTTGGTGGCTTACAAGCATTCATTATAATACTAATAGGAAAAATATCCATGTCTTTCCATAGTTGACATAACGCCATCCCAGTGGTTTGACAGTAAGAGAAATACTTCTATTGTAACCATATACAAAAATATGGTTAAATGTTATTTTTCTTCAGTGTTGTAGCACAGTCCAGTGAAGCTGGAAGAGCAAGAAGGTTATATAAACATTTCCATTCTCTTTGCTATATGGAATGTAAATAGTATAGTCTTATTGACTCTACCCCTTTGGGCAGCCAGTTCATGACAAAACAGTCAAAGTGACTGTTCCTTTTGTTCTTTTCAGAATAGCAACCGCTTCTTCATGAGTCACGCCTTCTAAACTCTGCCCGTTCACAGCAATGATTTGATCCCCCCTCTTCAGGCGTCCATCTTCTGCTGCTGCACCCTGAAACGATACAACATGTAACTGCAGATTCATGCCTTTCTTTTTCTCTCTGCCACACCGTCCTTATGGTCTCAGTAAGATGGGTTCAGTACACAAAACCCCTTAAAACATTTTTGATTTTCAATGATTCAAATACAGTCAATTATAGTACAGCCTGCTAGCGCTGCAGCATGCCCTGCCCTAAGTTTTACAACATCTAGAAATTGAATCTATGGGACTTTTATATTACCTTAACCCTGCTCGTCCAGCTAGTTTAACATTTAAACTCTACTATCATAGAACTAAGATTTTCAAGACCTGAGGAAATTTTCAGCAACTGGTATAAGAAATTCAGTAATCAAAACCCAGCTCCATACTTTTTTACCATAAAAGTCTGCGATTCTTGATTCCAGTTTTCTCTGACTCAGGGTTGTTTCCTAAGCCAGTTCAAACTATCAAATCCAGGTCAGTATCTGAACTTCTCCAAAGATCCAGACTGAGTTCAATTATTTTATCTTGGTGTACCTTTCAGACTCTCAGTCAAAATAAAGAAAACAGTCCCTTCTACTACCTGAAGAAAATACACTCTAAACATAAGACAAGGGGGCTGTTTTTCTAAGTATGTGCAAAACTCCAGTTTTGAGAGTTGAAGACGACTGCCATATGCGGAGATCCATGCAACTGGAAATTCTGAAACGTCCTAAGACTATAGCCTTCAAATGCTGCAAGCACATTTTGACCAGCACTTGCACTAAGGAAGAAAAGCTGTGAGAAATTGCAACAGTCCTTTGGCTTCAAACTCAGGCCATGATTTCAGATAGTAGCTGCTGTGAACTGTGAACTAACTAATAAATGGATTGATGGAACAAATTTACACTTACCTTTGCAAACACTGTTTTCACATAAATGGGTAAGTCTCCATGGGGACTGCCATAACCGCCCACAATACTAAAGCCTAGGCCATCTGGTCCTCTATCCAGAGTGATAGTCTTGTACTGAGGAGGTCTAAGAAAAGGAGAAAGAGTATTGTAATGTTGTCTGAACTTATGATTTAACATGCAGAATATTCAACAAAAAGTATTTTTCCTTTGAAGCTAAGCAATACATTTCCCTTTCCACAATAACTACAAATGCTTTTATTATAATGAACTGGCTATTTTAGTTCATGTAAAACACTTTAACTGTCTAATGCCCTAGTTATTACTTAAAGGTAGCTATTTCAAACATCTCTTCCACCCAGTTCAGGGCATAGTTACCACTGCAATGTCACACTAACAGTGCTTACTAGTGAAGTAGAGATGCAATACCAATATCTCAAATCTCCATAACAAACATCTACTTTGAAAATCCCGTAACCCATTATACCACCTAAAAAAGACTAAAATTAGCCCGAAGAGTTTATGTTGTAAGGTTTAATTGCTTCTCTCCTCCTTTAATATATGACTCTGTATTTGTATGTATGCATTTATACAGACTATTTATAGGTACATTTCCCCACATATACTTTAACTGTAAGTTTGAAGTTCTGTCTTTCAAAGTAGATCTGTGTGGCTAAAGAGCCTCATTCTCCCTTTCTCTGTTCCTAGAAGAAATATACTCAGATTTATGACAGAGTTTGAGACAAAATTTGTTTAGATAGCTGTACTTTGCAGTATATCAGAAGCAGTATACCTTGTATACCACAAAAGTCGGATGCTCCTGATAGCCGAATGCCAGAAAGCAATTATGGAAACACAGATACCACTGTGGAAAGGGCCTTGCTATTTAAGTCTGAGAAAAAACATTTCAGGTGTAACAATAGATCCTAGCTACCAAGGCTCAGTGAAACAAAGGAGGCTGTATTTACAAAGAAGAAATCAAATCATATCAAAACTTTACACAGGGGCAAAATAAAGCAGCACAGGAAATCACACGATGAAAACAACTCATTCATTATTTGCTAGAATTTCTAAGTTTTTTAGGTTGAGTTCCACCTAAAATAACAGGCTACAGAGGTTGTATATTCTATAGTTACTGACCCTAAATCATCCTGAAAAATGCTGGTTGAAGTTAGTCCCGCAAATGAAAGACTGGACGTAGGTGGATCTTGCTGTTGACCAGTTACGACACTCACTTCTCCTCCAGCTACAACCTAGGAACAACAGAGCTTGTAAACCAGTAAAATGAGAATGCTGACACTAAATTAATTCATCGTAGCAGCTGGCAAAAGAATACTCAGAAAATATTCCAAATGTCACTGAAGATTTTTTACCTGCAACTCAATAGTGCCTGAAGCATTTTTTAAGAGGCTAACAGCTTGGGAGTGAGTCATGCCCTCAGTAGATGTTCCACAGATGCTCACAATCCTGTCCCCAACCTGCAGAATAAAATGTAGAAAATCTAACTAAGTTTATTTACACAGATTTATTTGTCACTTTGTTTCAACAACAGCAGATCTGTGTATTTGCATTTAGCCAGATATTATCAGTGATATAGGGCAGGAAAAAAGAAATTAGCAACTGTTCACAGTACATTTTCTCTTGAAGGCAAATCATCTTTGAACTATGTAATGACCCAATACAAAAGTACAAAATTCAACATCACAATTAGCACATTACACCAGTTTACTGTATTCTGTCTAAAAAAAGTAATGATGCTTTAGAGAATTGATTCTACATACTTTTACAGCATATACAAAAAGAGATGCATTTTGCACATCACTTGAAGATAGACTGTAGTAGTAAATTATCATCAGAGATTGTATGTTTGAATTCATCCTGAAGTAACACTGTCATTTTCCAAGGAGCACAAGTCAAATTTAACCACCTCTGGTAAAGACTGGATACAGTATGCATGTAAGTGCTGTATTAGACAAGACCTCCCACTTTAACTCAGAACATAAAAAGTACTATCTCTATCTTAAGGCAGATAAGCATAGAAAACATGAGAGATAAAACACACTGCATACATATAGTTGCAAGAATGATCGCCATGCTCATCAGTGGAGCTCACTTACAGAATCCATCATTCTGAACCACTCTCTCTACTTTTCATTTTCACAAACTGACTATCTCTGTGATTCAAGATTGCTTTAGGACTTCCTTCCCAAAGTCAGTACATTTCAACAATTACCTTTTACCATGCTACCAATCTGAGTTACTGTTTCATCAATCCAAACAGCACAAATTCTTGTCACAGCCAGAAGCACTTATGATAGTATCATTAAACTGCTTATTGCCTGCCTAGAGTAATTACCGTGCATTACCCATGCAAACTTTACAATCTTCTTAACAATTAACTTACTCTGAGTTTCTGAGTCTGAGCTGCAACTCCATTTGGATGCATCATGGCAATAAATATAGGAACATCTCCAAGAGGACTTCCTACACCTCCAGCAATGCTCACTCCTAGTGAATCTGCAGGGCCCTGTTATTGTCATGAAAAAAAATTAGATTTTTCTGGAAACGAAAACACACACAGGGAATTGCAGGCTTATCTCAAAAAATACTAAAGCCTCTATGTTATGAAAATCAGAATTCCTGTGTCTCAAGCCATTTTTTAAGCTCATACACTTTGCACCATTTTATGAAAGCACAGAGAGCACAATATATGTTTCTTCCTATCAGTGGTAGGTGACAAGTCGCTGACTTAGTTTTATGTTTTATCTTAATCAAACTAAATACTTCCAGAATTCACCGTCAGACCCTTAATGTCAGCATCGAAAGCCTGGGCAAGGAAAACTGGACAGATGGCATTGCTTGTCCTTAATACTGTCTATTTCAATCTTCTATTAAAAACCTCTCAAAGACTAGAATTAATCTTTATGCTCCCCCTAGTGTCCTACTGTTGAAGAAGAAAACTGACTGTTCAGTACCATACAACACCTCACCACCGAACTGCAAAAACTGCTACTGTAAACCAGTATTTGCACATTCTACTGTAAAAAGAGAATGGATAAATACAATCCATGTAATCAAGCAAACTAGATGCCAGGCAAAGTCAAATAAATACAAATATTTTGGACAATCAGAAGCAGTCTGTGACTTAGATCTCATGTTCCTGTAAATAAGGAAGTCGACAATTTCGTAAGTTGAAAACCTGGCAGATGTCATGTAAGTAAGAGCCTACCCATTACGTGTGAAGAAAAATATGAAATCCTAAACAATGGGCTTGTAACTTTGGTACAGTTCCCCTGACTTCACTAAAAAAGAGTCTAGATTTAACTCTGTCTTATAACAGTAAAACCAGGCCCCATTATGTCTTACTAATTCTTCCTCCTTTTACTTTCAAAACAGGTCACAAAATGTGATAGCATAAATCACACTGATTTTACATAAAAATATAGGCAGTGGAGACCTGAAAAGACAGGCAAATTAATTAGCTATTGCCCTATCAATTCCTCTAAAAAAAGATTAACAGGGCCAGATTTCTTCCTTTCTGTAAACATATCCATTTACAACATCTACAAAACCTGTTCCTGATAAATATCACTTCATGCTGTAACTTACCTTTTTTACTTCAACTGTTCTTAATCCCTGTATTTCAGAAGCTGCTGTCGAATTAAAAAAAAAAAGAGAAGTTAAACTCGTATTTTTAGAAATTTTTTCCATTAAATTTATCCAAACCACTATGATGATTCTAACTTTCTGTTGGTTTATTATAGACATACATTTTAAGCAGATTTTGAAAGTGGCTGCCATTAACATAATAGGATTGAAATACTTCTAGAGCGGGTAAAAAAGTAATTCATTCTCCCCATTTAAATAACTTTTGGAATAAGACTGCTAAACATGCTCAAATAGGACAGAAAAAACTACTATTTGCTAGCAATAGTTTGGTCAGAAGAAACTTTGTTCTAAATTTGAGCACCAGACAGCTATTCCACATCTATTCTAATTTAACTATACAGTATCTGGATTTCTATGAATAAGACAGCTTGATTGAAGATGTATTTACATTAAATAGAAAATTATGGCTCAACTTAGATTCTCAACATCTAAACTGCTGGTATAACAAGCCACTAGTTTATTTTATAAAAAGCTATTCAAAGATACATATGATGTACTGTACAATAACCACTCCTGCAGAGTTTTAATGACTAAAGAATCACTTTCAGGCCTACAGCACACAATGACAATATTTTAGGGAAAGTGAAAGATCTCAGCTACCAGTTCACATATATAAAATACTGAAAGCACAAAAGAAACCTTACTGGTATTCTTCTTTAGACCATTTTCAAAGACCTCAGGTGCACTGGACCCAGAAACCGCGAAACTGAACGATGAGAGACTGCCGCTTCCTTCACTGACCTAAATACAGTGTCAGATTGGGATTAGAGAGCAGTTTCAGACATCCAATTGATAAGAGTAAAACTGTAACTCAGTGTATTCAGCGGATTCTGCTGTATTTTACTTTTTCTGTGCCCAGCTAAACCTGACACAGTGAACCTCCATATATTTCTTGGTCACTCTAGAGGGCTCCTTGTTTGAAACGTGATGAGATCAACAGAGATTGCATGCCTACAACCCCATGCAATATTTTGAAGCACTGCTTCTGAGGGCCGGACTGTGCCCTTATATTTGCACCTTCTATCACCTCATAGAGATCTTCTGGTGCAAAAGTTAGCCGTGATTATCAAGGTAGGGACAGAACAGAAAAGACAGATCTTTATACATCCTCACGTGTACTCTCACGTTCACCCACTGCATGAGCTAAAACCAAGATTAGGCTCTTCACTCAGCTTCATCTGCACAATCTCCAGAAAGATTTTCACTATACAGGCAGGGTAATGTAAAGGAACAAAATGGCTCCCAGTAAGACTAGTTCACTGACTGTTACAGACTCTTCAAAACATGCAACATGTGAGCTTCTTCTTACTTAATCACTTATATTAAGACTACTCACAGTATCCATGTTCTCATTTTGTTTGTCATTTCCTGTTTTGAAGAGAGCCTAACATTTCAGTTTTATCCACTCTTAACCTGCTCATTTGAAACTGTTTAATTATGATTTGTCTTAAAACTATTTACCTTCAGTACCTCATGATTTGCACCAGTTTAAAACTAGAGAAAGTTCTAAGGTAACTTGTGAGCTCTCAGAAATATAGCTCCTAGTAGAGAGAATCATGATGCGAGCTCCTACCACATGAAGGATGCATTCAAATGCAGAAACTGATGCAAGTTTGTAACACTCCACCATTAGAGCAACAACAGAATAAATAAACTTGAGAAAAACCTGATGGAAAGGGTACAGGTTTCCTGCTTCTGATGACCAAGATTACAGTAATAATATGCAAGGAGTAGAGAAATTCCCTAAGTTTATGGAAACAATACTCCACTGCATGCCAAGCACTCCTAAAGTAACACAGAAGTTTAAAGACCACTCCAGTTTCTTCTGGTATTGATGAGAATCAGAGCAAGCTCTGCTTCCCAGGCTGGAGCCATAAAAAACAGACTAGGTAACACAGAAAAGCCATTTCTGGATTACGTTTTTGGCTGGATTATGTCTTTAACAGATACAATATGCTAAAATGAACATATAAAATGGTTACTGAAAGGCTGCAAAGCAGATGAAAACTGCTTTTCTTCATCTTGGATCAGATATGCGGAAAATCATTGTCATCACAAAACCAATTCTTTTTATTTGCTTTCATTATTTAACCATCATTTCTTCCAAACTAAACAGTTTTACAGTTACACACCTGGCTGCACTGCGATGTTCTCCTCTCGGAGTGGAATGGACCAGCTTTTATTCTTCCAATCTCTAATCTTACCGTACCTAACGAACACTAAAGAAACAATCACTTATAATGCATCTCTTCTGTCTACAACATGAAAGACTATGACAATATTTAAGTCACTAATTAGATGGTGGAAGAAGAAAAAAATATGGACAGAGGGGAAAACAATGGGCTAACATCCTTGTGACGAGCACTGAGCAGACAGCGTTCATGGCAGGATCAGAGCCACACAAACTAAGTACACCATGATATTCAATACTGAGCAGGGTGCTTTTTGGATTAACCAGTATTACAATACAGATGTGAAAATTACACAAGAAGACTAATTCTTACCGTTCACTTAAAGGGGAGTAGTTTTGACTTCTCAATTGTAATGTCAACACATATTTTCAAGATGTCATTTTTCAAGCAATAGTGAAATTGACTATTCTCACAATAAACACTAAAACCAGTGTAACACCTCTAAGTACTCACCATTATTTCTGTTGATATGACTGAGAACATGGTATTTTAACTGGTAGTTACTCATCTTTCTCCTGCTTTTGAAATTATCTGTTACTCTGGATCCATACCAACATAATGAAAAAAATTTTGGGCAAGAGGTTTTCCAAACATTTCTCTGTAGTTTAAGTGACCTTTCTGCATCTGACTCCCAACAGGAAGCTGGGTGATACGGACTGTTTGCACATTGGAAAATCCTTCCTCTACTCTTTAAGCTTTTAATTATACTATTAAGTTTTTACATAACTGCATAAAATGCACATATCAGAAGAAAATTCACCCTGAAATCAAATATTTAGAAACCAAGACAATAGGCTGATTTTGGAAACAGATACGTAAGTTATTATCACAAACAACATTAAGAAAACTCGACTTTGGAAATAATACAAGTAGTGTCAAAAGAAGACCACCTATCTGCAACATATTCAAATACAGAAGTTTCAAAGTTTCGTTGCTATTATGCTTTTCCTTCTTTCTTCCACCGGGAAGTCGTTAGTATGAATTTCTATAGGCAAAGACCTTAATATTACCTAAGTTTGCTTTTATTTATCATGCTTTAGCTGTATTATCCTAAGAGAGAGTCATGTATTTGCCAGAAACCTCACAGTAAGAAATAGACCGATATATAAAATCATCAACAGGAGATAACCATTCAAATAGGGTTTCCATACCTCATATCCTGTTGCTATTCTCTCAGAGGTGACACTAAAACAGATTTATTACTAAATTGCTTTTTACTTTTTAAAATAATGTTGACTTCTCTATGTCCTTGGAAAGACTTGATCAAAGTTCAGGCAAAACCATTCTCTCCTGCTTGTCTGAATTGACTTGTATTAAACCATATGGACAACTTTTATCCAAAATGGAAAACTGAGGAAGTAATCCATGTACCTAAAACTACCACATCCTCACATAAAATGCTAACCCACAGATGAGATTTAAAAGTTATAATGTGTGAAAGTGGGAGGTAATACTTTCCAACTGAACTTGTGAATAAATCAATTCATATTTAGTTTTATGATAGCTTCCTCTCTCTTCCTGAAAACTCCCATTTGATAAATCCGTAAGTCAAATGAGAGGAAAAAATGAGCAGCTTTTCACATGTTTTAAGGATACTTAAAAAGGAATACTGCGAGATCAGGTGGAATTGTCAACCTCACGACACTTTCTAGTGGTCTCACGCTACTTAAAATACATTGGGATTTTCCAAAGATTATAAATAATATTCTAGCAAAATACATTTCAGGCAGTTCAAGACAATTTGCTCCTAGATCTTACTCTCGTGAATGAAAATGGAACTGACACCTGAACTAAAAGTCGTGACTGTCTACATGTGAATGATCATGCATTACTCCATTCATACTGTGTGAACAAAACAGAATCGTTAACAATAATATATCTGAGGTGTTTTAAAAGCCTCATTTCTCAGGGTTAGCACAATTAATTACAAGTACTACTGAGTGGGATGAAGTATTTGAAACATGAATATACAAATAATAAGTGGGAACCAAGAATCTTCAATTAGATTCTCCAAAATGCTTGCCAAAATGAAAGAAACTTTCCAGATAAAACGGCATTTTAATTTAGAGGGGATGTAAAAATGCAGTGTATGAAGAAGGAACACACTGTCCTTAGACAAAATAAAGTATCAGATAAGAAAGGAAAAGTATACTATTACCCCAGAAACACAGATCCAGTTCTGGCATTCTCACTTATGGGCACATGCTGAAAATACAGAGAAAGTGCTCCTACCTCCTCTTTCTAAACCCACTCTGTGCCCCCGGCCTACCCCCACCAAAAAAAAAAAAAAAAAGGGAAAGCTTGAGGAACTGTTCAACTGTTCAAGACCTGCAAAAATACGCCTTTGAATGTGAGTACAAAGAAGCATGATCATGTGTCTATGTATCCAGGAGTCAGCTATGAGTAGTGGCTGTTAAATTTTTTCCAGTGGAATGGTGTTCCTTTGGAAAATGCTGACTCGATGGAATCCTTACCATGCAAGAACGTCTCAAAATCCTGGGTGGAAAACAGACAAGCTGCCTGACCAGCTGAAATTCCTGCCAGACCACAGGAAATGTTGTATACCTGACTTCATTCTGATTTGAAAACTGGGGGAGGACATCAGAAGCACAAAATCTATTGAGAACAGAAATTCTGGTTCCAAGAGCCACACATAGGAGTTATCTTTGTGAGACGGCTATTTCTTATACTAGATGCCTTGGTCACTGCAAAATGCATTGTAATATTTAATAGATGTAAGGTGACACTAGACATACAGAGAAAAAAAAAGATGAACATTATCAACTATGAAAGTAATCACTTTCTGGCACTACTGTGATCAATTCTCGATCACTTAAAGTCAGTTCTGCGTACCTTTCTAAAAACGTGAGGAGACAGTTAACCAGTTATTAGTTTTTTGGAGAAAGCGCACTGTTAAGTTTTGGGTTGTTCTAGGTAATGGTCTTCTGTTGCCATATAAACATATGGCTCTCTGCACCATGACTACTCTCATCTTCATGAGGCAAAGTATCAAATTCTGAATGCTCCAGACTTCAGGAAACTTAAATTTGGACCCACAGTTCATTCTCACTTATATCTCAATAACAGTCTGAACTCAGTCTGAATAAAACTAAAGCTTTCAAAAACTCTGGATCTCAGTTCTCCACTTTAATCCACCATCTCTTTTCCCAATACCTTTAGCAAAGCTGCAACAGCCTCCTGGTTAGCATTTCGAACATCTTCTCCATTCACTGTCAGTATCTGGTCTCCTTGCATCAATCTCCCATCTGTATCTGCTATTCCTCCTTTGACGATGTCCGAGACAAACACGCCTGTATCATTTCTGCAAATACACACACGGATTTTGCATCTCAGTATTGTTTGAGGGCCATTTTTATGGCTTGCTATTTGGAACACAACAAATACTGTCTCATTTTTCTGTTAAGAAACACTGGGCTAGCTCCTCTAGGAATGGCCAATTAGCTTAGGCACAAAAATGACATGTACGGCCTTCAAGACCACAGGATCTGAGTATCAGATCCCAACAGAAACATGAGCACACTGAGCAAGTCCCAGACATTGACTCTCCAGGTACATACGTACCTTTTCCCAACAATGCTCAGCCCAAGGCCTTTGCCAGGCTTCTTTTGGAGCTCTACATTGAGTATATCATACATGTCTTCCTCCTTGTACTGGGCCTCATCTCTGTACACAGTCAGACGAACTTTTTGGGGAGTCTGTCTGAGGACATTTATTGCTTCATCATGTGTGGCATTCCTGAGGTCAATCCCGTTCACCTGCAATGAAAGCAGACAATGATAAAGTGTGCAAGACCTTCCAGGAGACAAATAGAAGATGTCTAGCTAGCAAATGACAATAAAAGTGACCAAAGAAACCACCACACCTCTAATATCTGATCCCCAGCCCACAGTCTTCCATCTTTAGATGCTGCTCCTTCTTCATATACCTCATGGATAATGATTGCTCCCTGTGGATAAAGAAAACAAAAATAAATTGAATGTTGAAAGAATATGCCCCTACTTTGAACTAAGAGCAACTGAAAATTCCTACTATAATTCACCCGTGATAAACAAAAGAGTCAGATGTATGATGAACAAATTACAACAATATGTAGGAAGTTCACTTATATTTTCAATTTTAACAGTGCTTTTCTCTTCCTTTTTTTTTTTCTCCCCTGAACTGGTACCTTTGATATCGTTCTCTAAATGCTATAGAAACAAATTAAGAAAAAATCTCTTCTATCAGACATTTCAATTTTATTCTTGTATTTCACTTGAGTGACACACATATTTTTCCAACCAACCAGCAAAGTATCTGCTCCTCCAACAATGCTCAGACCAAGACCAGTCCGCCCTTTGGAGATATCAATGGTTGTTTCACATCCAGGAATGATGGGACAAGTAGCAGGGTCAGAGGCTAACGTGGCTGGAGTGGAAGATCTGCTTGTGTCTAAAACAACAATTAAACATCCTGGTTACAGTAAGAGGGCTTGATATTAGAAAACTGACTTTAAAACAGCATTTTACGAATCCATTGATAGCTCTACAGCAACAGCTGAACAGCTGAGCTACAGAGAATGATGTTGCCAACTCCCCCTTACCCTCAGGCAAGTACTATCCTGTAGCTTTAATCACATTTGTCCCGTTTTCATACCATCAAGTACCTGCAACACAGTCTGGATAGCCAAAGAAGCTACTCTACACAACAGATTCTATTTAGGATGGAATTTAATTTAAACATCTACACCAGCAACTATGCAATGTAGATCAGAGATAAATGAAGTACACAGTATGTATTAAATACATAGATTCAAGGATGTCAGCCCTGTACTTTTGCAATGGGTCAAGTCAAGGTCCATCCAACTAAATATTCCATTTCAGACTCAGATCTGTACCATGAGAAAGAATGTGAAGTATGAATCAAATTTAGCAGTACTTCACAAGTCCAGCAATCCATGATCAATTCAAAGGTTTTATAAACATCATTGTATTTAGTGGCGCTGAAAAACAACTTTTTACATCAGTCCAACTTTTAACTGGCCACTGACACAGCTGTGGGATGCAGTAAGTTTGGTGGTGTAAACAGATATTCTCACAGTGCAAATACATATGGCATCCTTACATAGCAATTTATCTGTAAATTCAGTATCTCTGGTATGTCACAAATGGATCTTTGCTTCAGTATTTTAGTCAGATCTGTACCCTTCATCAAAAAAAAAGCTAAAATACTAGGAAGGGATATTGCGTAGCAACTAAAGGAAAGAATCAGCAATTAAAACGTCTGCGATGTTCAGATTAACTCTGTCACTGGCGTCCTCTGTGCTTTAAAGAAACACCAAAATTACATTTTTTCCAAAAGGTAAAAACAGGCATCTAGATCCTTTTGAGGCACTTTAAAAGGGCATTCATTAAAAGAAGTTCCACTGAAACTAAAGGAGGACCTGATCATTCAGAAATATGGATTCATATTGCACAAATACTTAAGTATAGTGTGAACAACAGGTCCTGCAAGACAGTAAGCCTCAAAACTAAGAGCCTTGGCCTCTGAAGGGAACCAGAAGAACAAATAAGACTTTTTAAGGGTAAAGCTTCTGTGCAAGTACAGAGCAGGTTTCTCTTCTGCTCTGTTATGCAAGTTCTTTATGCGTATGATGAGCAACTGCTTATGCCTAGTTCGAGCTAAGTACGGGAGTCAAGGTTTAAGTATTGCAATTCTGTCCAGAAGGCGTAAAATGTACACGAAATACAGGAACTGAAGAATTAGAAGGGAGTCTTGGTATGAAAGGTTGATTCCTTCTAGATAGCTGCACCTGTACTGGGCCAAAAATTGCCTGCATAGCACTGCTGGAAACACCAAAGTTGGGCAGAGATGTAGTAGAAATCAGATGAATAGGGAAAAAATAGTTAGGGATGGGTTGCTTATTTGGAAGGAGTCAGTGCAGAGAAAGTAAGATGCAGGGGCAGCAAAAAGGTGGGTTTGGTAAAAGAAAGTGGGGGAATAAATTACACAATCAGGTGGAGAACCAATAGGAGGGAGATATTCCAACACTTGGGTTGTGGATGCCTGTGAACGGTAGTGAAGCCACACTGCAGTCACAAATCCCTAGGATGGTGAAGGGTGCACTGCTGGTATCTTCATCAGGTTTTTACACCTAAGACTTGCTGTGGCAGAGTGGAGATGGAAGGGATAGATTTGGACAAAGCAATACATTTTATTGTAAAACTAAATGCAGAAAGGAAGACAAAAGAATTATTGCCCAGTAGGTCTCCTATGTGTTTCTTAAGATTTCTTTATAGCAGTGTAACTGTGTATCAATACTACTGCTAGTAATAATCAATAGAAACATGACTCAGTAACACTTGTAGTGATGTGCATATAAATGAACTCCGATGTGCGCATTACTCAATTTAGTTATCATTAGCTTCTTAGTAATGTGTTGCTTAACCAATAATCATCATCTATCAGTCGCATCTTGACTCTCCACTCTAAAGGGGGAGAGCCAAACGTGGCTAGTCATAAATGGCAAGACAGTCTCAACCATTCCTCTGTTCTAGGAAAGGTGATATGACTTTTCTCCCTCATTTAAAGAAATGCCTCCCACTTAGATCTTCATGACAGAGGCATCTGCTGCACATCCTTTGGGAGGGAGGAGGAAATCCCTCCATTCTCCCAACTCTACAACAGGCGAGTGGGAAAGCAAGAAGTAGGTCTTTGTTGTGGAGCCTCACTGCTTTATTTATACGGATCTGCAATCTGAAAGTACTAGAAAATGCAACTCAGAAGACAGCTGAGTGCACACAAAAAAAGAAAATTTGTTTACAAGCTGGATCTTCATTTTTATGTCACAACCCCAGTGACGACAGACACACAAAGAGAATCTTACTTTTGACTGCTTCTGGTTCTGGTGAGCTGGAAGAAGGGACAGCTGCTGGTGGCTGCATATTCCTTCTCTCTGTTGCGGCAGTACTGGAAGGTACTGGTGCTGCAGCCAGGCTATCCATCTCTGCTGAGTTGATGGTAAGCCTCACCATAGTTTTGGATGTCTTCAGGAGACTAATAAACTGAATGATAAAGAGAAAAGCTGGTGAAGAGTATAACTGCACTGTTCAGTTGTAGAACAAAAATAAAGCGGAATAACTGTTCTGCAAACTGGAGATACAAGTCACAATCCTGCAGGTGTTCTTGGTAATGAACAAGGACAAATATTGATGTTTTTTAAAAGAAACAGCAGTAGAGTTAACTGTGGGCTAGACTTGGCTGATGTTAATTAAGCAGTTTTCATGAAACTTCACCAAACTATACCAGATGAGAATGTGGAAGCCTTGCCATAGTTTCTCTGGACAAAATACTATGTTCATAGCAATTATTAGAAAAATCAGAAAACTAGTGTTGTCTTTTAACACTTGGGTGGAGCTCAATTCCGATCCTACAGAAGTCAAGGTCAAAACATCTACTCATCTAAATAAATGTGCTACTGCCATCCTAGCTCCTTAATCAGACACACATCTGGAAGGAAAAGCTGAAAATATTATCTGAACTATGGGAAGGAGAGAAGGACACTAGGGTATAATGCAAAATCTACTTTAAAGGGATACTGAAAAAACTTAAAAATTAATTGCTCACAGAAAAGACACCAAATCCTCCCAAAACTTTACAGTTCAGTAGAATTAGAAGTATTTTCAGAAATTACTTACTCCACCTCTCTCTCTCTTCTTCCAAAGCCAACCTACTTCGCTGCAGATAAATCCACTCTCACTTACTCATTTACTGCTTCAGAGATAGCAGTGCATCAAATAGTGAGATGGATGCTCTCCTAATTGCCCTTTAACAAACAGAAAGTAATCTTCTCATACCTAAAGAATCACTTTTCTTGGTAGAAGGCAGGTGTTAGAGAAAGCCCTCCTTTATTCATTAGAGAACTCAAACTGACTTTGCAGAGCTCGAAGTTAAAAATAAATCTTGTTATTTAGGAATAGAAAGAGTTTTCTCCAAACTGTTGAAATCATCAGGCATGGAATATAATGAGGTCATTATTACTCACACTCCCCATGTATAAGTTCATGACCTGATTTACCACTGATGTAACTCACTCATGTAAATTTGCACATATTTATTTTACTGGTTCTAATACTTTTAAAGGGGAGTAGCTATGAACAGTTATTATTGAGTGACAGGTCACAGCATTTATCCCACAAGTAAGTGTCTTTCAGTCACCAGATCTGAACCATGGGGAAAAAAAGAAATCACATTTGTAGCAGAGAGAGAGATGATACATGTAATGCATTAATGTAAAATAGCAGGCTTTAGGTTATCCTGCAGTAGTTTCCTTATCCAGATAATGCCTGTGGATCTTTGGTTCTTTAGCCAGCTTTGAAAATGAAGTCAGAATATAGTCACAAAAAACCTACTGGTTTGTTTAAGACACAATCACCTCCTACATTAAGTGGTGTGATTTCTGCAACATTCCTGACACTTCAGAAGCACCTTTTCTACTGGATATCCCACAACGATTTCATCATCCACTGCCAGGATCTGATCTCCAACTTTGATTCGTCCATCCTAGAAAAAACATAGAATAAAAAAAGATGAGCTCTGGATGCTACTCCAAAGAACATTTCTTATTGCCTAGTTGGATTTTAAATGTTCTCATACCTTTGCTGCTGCACCATGATCTGTTAAGCTCTTAATAACTACTCCATTAACTGTGTCTTCTTCACTAATGGCAATTCCAAAGCCTCCTTGATCCTGAGGCAAACAGAAAAATGCAAATGGTTAGGTATTGTGTTTATCAAAATTTTAGAATACACTCACTAAAGACTAGTGAAGCCTGTGGACATAAAAAACATTTGGGTTTTCACAATATATCAATATTTTTGTTTTAAACTAACCTATTTCTGAAATAGATTTTGCCAACCTACAAACAGTATATTGGCTACCAAGATAAATCTCAAACACTTCTAAACTCAAATCTACTCCTTTGAAACTTACAAAGTCAATTGTGATTCAGTTGTTAAGTCAATAGATAGAAGAAACACAAAATATTTGGAAACTACAAACAGAGGTAAATAAAACTTCATGATATAGCTTAAATTCATTATTTGAAACCACAGAAAAAATATACACAGGAATGGAAAATACAGAGGATGGAAAAATGTATGCTCTTCCTGTGAAATTAGTAAATGTTTGTGGCAGAGTGAAATTTTCCTAATGTATTCACCTAAAATTAAATCATCCAGATACCATCATCTGTAAGATATTCTCCTGGTTAACAATGGAATGCTAGATGCTTTCCAAGGAGAAAAACTTACCAACAGTCCGGAAATCTCTAGCTTTATGTCCAATGAATGCAACTGCCTTATCCATGTCAATAAGCAAGAGCAGCAATTTTTCAACCCTCATTTGGAAGCTTCATAGTTACAGAACACCTAGCCATTTTCTCCCAGCTGCACAATTTCCACTAAATATGTATGTTGTTTGGGGAGATTTGGTTCTTACAATCCGGTATTTTGTTTACTTTGAACAACTAAGGCAATATTTTTACCTGAGGTACTAGCAGCAGCTAGTTAGCAAAAGTTCTGCAAATAGGACAAGACGTGACTTCTTCCAGAGACACACAGCAATTGGCAAATTTATGTGAAGTTAGAGACTCATGAGGTTGCCAAAGACAGTCATTATGTCAGGAAAACTTTGGGGTCCATTCACAAGTAGGAAGAGAAGACATCTAGAAATCTCTATTCTGACTTCCAGTAAGAGACAAAGTTCGTTTGCCATAAGAGGGACTCCATTACAAAAAAAGCAAGCTAGTGAACACAAATGTGGCTGTTGTACCTTTCATTTTCAGCCCATACCTTAGGGAGTTCCACATACTGAATGCTTTTACATGAACTGAAGTCAGAACAAGCACTGGAGTTTGCAGCACTGATGTCAATCTAATAGAAAATGAAAATATAACTGTGAGCAACCATATTCAACATTTTGCATCAAAATAAAGTAGTGCACAAACATTTAAAGTGGATCTAATTGTTTTCTGGATTCATTTAAAAATCCTATTCACGGGAATGTTAGATTTACTTCATAGTTTAGATGAACACAAAATAAAACAGAATTGACCACAGATTTACTAAATTTAGCAGCTTTACTAAAATCTCATTTGTTTTTCACTTGGATTTCTTTTTCTTTTGTACTATTTGTTAAGCAGACAGGGCACTCCTCTATCCAGAACAATGACAGTATCTCAGTCAAATGAGAAAAACAAAAATTTACTTTACCTCTTGATGTTGAAGTGTCTCTGAAGTACACTGTGAGGCCTCTACTGACTTTGCAGGGCAAACAGCCATCTGACTTACTGCATCTTTATTTCTACAATAGATTCAGTTAAAGAATGTAGTAAGAATGCAGTAAGATTGTGTAATACAGTACCGTCTTTCTTAGAACAAGTTTAGGTCTAGCGCTTTCTTTTACTTTATTTCTGGAATGCACAATGCAAATATCAAACCAGAAAACTCAAGACATATTTAACAATTACTAAGAACTGGGTTCAAAAGCACATCTACCTTACCAAAAAGAAAAATAAAACAGAAACACTCTGTGTCAAACTTGAGCATATTAAAAATAAACCTTTTCAGTCGAACATTTAACCAGAACTTACCTAATAAAGATTATCTTTACTTTAGATGGTGCACATTTGATTATTGAGGAAGCATTCTGATGAGTCCTTCCATAGAGTATTTGCCCATTTATCTATATAAAGGAAGGTAGCAATTATTTCTCAAAACATTTTAATTCCCTCATACTTTTAACAAATCTTTAAGCCTTAAAAAAATCCATTATCCCACATCACTGGCTAAAGCAGCAATTGTATTAAAATAACAGCATATGTTCTGTCCTGCTTTCACTCCCAGTAAAAAATTCCTTATAATATGATTTCCAGCTAACACTGTCACAGTGCTAAAGACGTCATTCTCTGAGTTACACTGGCTGACTTGGCACATCATCTATTTCCACTTGCCATTGATCACCTCATGACTGATGTGGTGATAAAGCAGGGCCACGGAAAATTCTAACCATAACAAATAAATGAATTGCTTATATCCAGCAATGAGATTGCTATTACTTATTGAATGCCAGCTCTGAGCCAGGCACTTCATACACAGGACTCTGAACACTGATGCCTTTACAATCTGAAGATTTGACCTGACAATCATCGTCTTCATTCGGCAGAGCAGACTCACAGAAACCCCCTAAAGCTCCTACGATTCAGGTATGATTGGAGGTATCAGTGTGAATTTGCAGACTAAGGCCACTATTCACTCACATTTTATTAGTTGCATTTGTTCTTGGAAATGGAAAACTACTGTGCAGAAGTCCAGTCTAAGAAAGGGGAAATGACTGGGAAAGAACAGCTTGGACCTACACACAGGGAAAATAACACAACACACACCGAGATAGTACTAATAGAGGCAGAGAAGCAGAGAATCAGTGAACAGTGAGCAACAGATGCAAGACATTGAACTGAGGGCTGAGCAAAACAGCAATCCCTCAGCTCCCACGCAGACTGTGTCCACCAGGCATGGTCACAGGGCTACTGAGCCCTGTCATTTACACTGGAGGTGAAAATCCAGATACAGCACTGCTTCCAGTGTTTGCCATGGACTTGTGAAGAACCATGGTCAGGTTGTCATCTGGGGGATGGGGCATGGACCACCACAGCTGATGAACAGCTACTTGGGAACATAAGGAGCAAGCTCAGACGCCTCCAGTCAGAAGAGTTTGAGACAACCTCTTAGCATCACTTTGTAGGTTTACAACATGGACAGTAAGCAAGAAATCATGAGAGCCGACTCAGATGTGTTTCAATGTGTTCGGAGGATACCCAGCATCTGCAATGTCAAGGTTTTGAAAACAGACATTTTAAGTGATTCAAGAGAACCCTCTAGCAGGTAACATTAGACTCTGCAACTAACAGGTCCCTCCATGAGACTAGGTCCACAGTGCCACAAATTCCTTAGTTTCTCTCTAGTCTGCAACCACCAGCCTACACTGTTTATTCTCTCAGTGTCTCCCTCAAGTTTCGTTCAGTTTCACCATTCCCTCCCTGTACTATCTCCCCAGTGCATTCTCAAACACCTCCACATACAGTTTTGAAGTTACACAAAGCATTTCTGCGAGGCTAATGTTACCTACTGCTATCAGAAAGAATGGGAAAAGCTATAGCAGAGAATGTATCTGCAAGTATCATCAACTGAACTGTGGTAATATATAAATATACCTTATGCTCATATACTTATTGGGAATGTTAGCTGCACATTCAGCAGCTGGGTCTCTCCACAAAGTCACTAGAAAACAGCCCGAATGTGTCATGAGATAAAAGTTCGTAATACAAATGGATCTGTTCCTGTTTCCCCAATTTAATATCCATTTTGCATGTTACACAATGTAAAAATATTCTGATATTAGCACACCTCCAGTAGACAGAGAGCAAGTCTGGAGCACTCCACAGATGGATGGACTACAGGACTTCTATATTGTCCATGGTCTGCAATACACTGTTCTTCCGTACACCTCCATAACCCAGAAACTGCTGTCATCCCCCATTTTTATCCATCTTAAATACACATACACTTTTACTTAATACTACTCTAACCAGGGAAAAAAAATCCCAGCTGCAACTAATTGGCATGCACCAGAATGAAAATCTGGTAGCACAGAGATGTCAACTTGGATAACTTGAGGACTTCCAAGTCCACTAAAGAACATCTATATTGCAGTAAGAATCTAGTATTTTAGTGCAGTTTAAGTCAGTGTGTTTGAGTTTCAGTATTAATTGCAAAGACTCACCTCTAGTAACTCATCTGCAATTTGTAACCTGCCATCTTTGCCAGCTGCTCCATTTGGATCAATTCCCACTATAAAGACACTCATCCTGGATCGGTCTTTGTTACCAGCAAGACTAAGTCCCAGACCTGTCCTTCCTTTTTCCAGCTCAATCATGTGTAGCTCCCCTGGCAGATCTCCATAGCGTTGCACGATCTTTTCTAAAGGTAGAAGTGTGTAAAAATGTAAACGCGTGGGCAGCAGAGGTTGGATTTACATTAGAAAGTTTCACAAGTCATCTAGAGAGTCAAGATCAGTGGCCAGTGGGCAGTATCAGACAGGAAAATCCAAAATTGGATAAGAAAATTTTAAGTGTATACCACACTGTCTTTTAAAATGAGCCTTAGTTGATTTATAACAGCATTTCTAGTTCCTTGTTTTCCTTCTAACTTTGGAAGACATTCAAACTTCTCTTAAAAAAAGACTTTTCAAACATAAAAGCAATAATCTTTTCTCCAGTAACACCTTCAGGTAACAGAAGCTATCACATCAATCACTGCCATCAGTTACCTAAAGCACACTGAAATTCTTCAAGTAGTCCTACATGTGAAACAGTGAATTTGGATCACGGAGGAAAACAGAGGTTGGAATGCAATGAAGAAGAAGAAATTAGTCTTACATTTCACCATGTGCATCTGACCAAGCACAACTAAAAGCTGACAGCAACATTTAACACCCAAACCACAAAGCACAGGAGAACAAAGTAGTTCAAACTGGACCCCCCTTTTTTTCTGCTGCAGTGCTATTTCAACACTGAATATTTCAAACATTATCACAAAGGATAAACTTACGCCAGCTGTAACCGAACTCATCCTCCTCCACATCGTCTGGGACTCTGCTAGAAGATGACTGTGCAACATCACAGCTCATTCCTGAAAATGCTGAAGGAGGGGGCAGAGGCAAGTTACAAAGTGAAGTCTTTTCTGGCTCTAAATCGGACTGACCGAATGCCTGTGGAGAATAAGAAAAATGCAGTGGCTGAGCAGATGCAGACTCTGTGTAGGGCAAACTAGTATACAAAAATGTCAAAATGGCGATGACTATGGCTTTGAAGTTTAAATACCAAGCAGCTGGAATTCTAAATTAATAACACGGCACAGAAAGGCTGCAAGAGATCAAAGACAGAAACAAACACCAGGCAAGGTAAGAGAGAACATCACTCCAAAATGTATTCATAAGCAAACAGAACACACAACAAAAGCCCAATTCAGTAAAGTTTTATGTGCCACTTTACTTTTTGGAAAAAGTCTCTTATGAAGACTCAAGTGATTTTTTTAAAATGCCATATTTGTAAAAGACTTCTACTTCATTTTATTTTTAAAAGCCACCACATGTAATTTCATCCTATCTTATGCTTTGGAAGTCAAACGGGAGGAAAGGGAAAGGAAACAAAGAACTACGTGATTTCAGAAAGGCCTCCAGAAAAAAGAAAATAACTGGTTTATTAACTGAAAGGACAATTCAAAACCAAAATGAAACAGACAGTAACTGAAGAAATCAACAGTAACTGGACTTTTTCAGTCTTATTTACTGGTTTCATATAAGCTCTACAGGGAAGATCAAATAAAGGAAGATACAGATTAAATCACAAAGGAGACAAATACTTTCAATCTTGATGTATGTGGTCTATTCAGATTCACAAAAAGTTAAAAAGTATAAACACATGACTACTGCAATATAATGGTTAAACACCCAAATCCACAATCTGGAAAGCCTCCATTCAAGTCAGTTTCCCTGAGGAATATGGACTCTGATCAGGGACTTCGCTAAGTGTTTGTAATTTGCGTAATTTTGGTTTCCTCAGAGTAAACATGTAGGCAAGAAACTTGGGTCTGAATATCATCATTCTGAAGCTTATGCACGCTCAAGAGACTTTGATACTTGGCAGATCAGCTGCCCAACTTTAGATGAAAACCAAGTATTTTTCCAGCACTAGGCTTTTCAGGTATTGCCCTAGTTTCATGGCCCTGTTCTCATTTCAGCTTTCATTACCTCCATTAGCAAAAGTTTGAACACAATATCTCAGATAGTGTCTCTGGGTGCCAAAAACACTGAGACAATTTCTTCTTCAGAGGCAACAGTGAAATGGACAACAGCATACACCTTGGAAGACTTCAATCCGCTTTAAATTGACTCTGTTGAAAAAACTAGAGTCACCAATTTAGTCATGCTAAGATTTAAGGAAAGTCCCATCTCTCAGGGAAAATTAGTTACCTTCATTCTCTATATATTCCCAAAGGTTTAAAGAAAACACAAAGGTCCTATTCAGTTCCCTCATTCTGCTTCTGCTTGAAAAAGATTTTCCTGTCATTCAGGAACATTTTCTAGGACCTTAACTAAGAAGTCAATAACTGTGGGAAGTTTTAATATGGCACCCAAGCCAACCATTTTTATAAAAAATGCATATTAATGATATATGATTTTTTGTATCATTATGTCAGTCACATTGATCCATGCTTCAAACCTAAGACAATGCTATCCTGATGAGATGATACCTTGTGTTACTAAACTTCATGCAGGAACTATTTCCAATGTATGCAAATTATACTCTAAAATATGCTAATAGTTACAGGGCAGACATAAACCTCAAATGAAGTAGCAAAATTTTAGCAAAGACATTGTTACCCACTGGAATTAGAGGAGGGTGGAAACACTACTTAATAACATTCAAAGTCATTTTTCATAATCAGAAATCCATGCATCCACCATGGAGAAAAGCTGGTGACAGACCTCTACCTCAAGGACGGGTGAAGGGAACAGTAGTTCTAGAAACACTAATTTTTCAGAGTGCTTCCTAGAGTTTTAACTAGAAAGCTACATAACATACTGAAAAAATTAAGAAATACAGTGTGAGAGCAGCCCAGATCAGCAGACCTTACAGTAGTCTCTGTGTTTTAAAACCAAAATTAACGTATCACTTTAGTGGTAACCCTGGTAAATGACAGTGTCCAAGAACTTTGCAAAATTAAGGAAAAACTGAACAAAGAAAAAAGAACAAAAAAATTGCTCTCGGGGACCTCCGGAATATCTGTAAAGTCTGGATGTATGGCTATATCCTGACAGATTAGCACTTGTGAACTGCAGCCACCATAATCTGATTGACAGAAAAATACTTCTTTCTTTACCTTTGTGCACATATACATAAATCCAAACATGTCTGATGTTTAAGCAAATGCTGAAACAAAAGTAAAGGCAAGGTTCCTTTCTGAGGAGGGTAAAAAGGGTGTTACAATGCCATCTGGGCAGAGGGGACCACGTTCTGCCTCCAGAACTCAGCCTGCCATGCATGCACCACCAGCAGCAGAAGCTGGTGCCTGCAGTTTACACACACATAAGACTTTCGCTCCCTGAATCGGGCCACACATAAAAAAATCTAAAATGCTTTAACTCATGAAATACTTTCAGTATGCTGTGGCACAGTATTTCATTTAAAACGCGAAGCATCAGACAGTGCATGAACCCATTTGGCTACCAGGGTCACTCCAATCACAGCCAAGCAAATATTAAAAATGGTAGCAAGTTTGGAGCAGTACCACTGTCAACAAACGAGGCACATGCGGAAGAACAAGCAGTACTCTGGAAGGTATCACAGGCCATGTACAAAAGTACAGCACACATAAGGTAGGACCCACTCACTGGAATCAAGACAAACCTTGAATGGTGTGGGAGCAAAAGGGTTAGTTGGGGAACAACGGAAGGTAACCCTAATTGGATTCGATACCTCCTACAGTAACAGAAAACAGCAATCCACATGTTACAGTACCTTTGGCTATACACAGCATTATTAATGAATAACTCATTTTCAATTACGGATTCATTTTACTAACTGCAGCAATTTTATTAACTCCATTTATAAATGGACAAAAGTATTTAAGGGGTTATTAAGGACTTTGATTCAGCAAAGTTTCTTACTTTACATGAACTTTACTTCAGCAGAAACAGACGCAGATGACAAAAGGTCATTCTTAACGTTAAAAAAGGAATTATGCAGAAACTGCAAAAACATTAGGTTTTCTCTAAAAATGTGTAATTTTTTTCAGAAATACTTTTGAAAATATAGAAAATACAAGCCATCGTTCATGTTACACTTCTACTCCCTTTCCTCAGAACTGTAACAAACACAAAGACAGATTTCAAAAACACACATGCAATTATACACCACACATCATATCATAAATGTTTGTTGTACATTTGATATATTCAACAACATGGGAAAACAGACAAAGGGCACAATCACTCCTAAGATGTACCACCAGCTAGAAATTATTTTATTAAAACAGAAATGCATGCACATAAGAATTAAGCCCTTATTTATTATTGTGTTAGGGGTTAACTCTGTTCCAAATACGAGTAAGATGCAGTAAGCACTAACCACAAAAATATGAATCTAACTTTTTTCATATTCCCAAAGATGTCAGCATCCTGTTCATGGTGCATTAAAAGAATTGTTGAGAAGCAGAGGGAAAATATTTTCAGCATCATAAAACAAAAGCTGCCAATGTTTTTTTTTTTTCATGCAAAAAGAAAAAAGAGATATCAAAGCTGGAAAGTTCTAACCACACAAAAAGAAAATGAAGTACATAGCAGCAAAACACATCATGCTGATGAGAGAGTTACACTTAGGTGGATATTTTAACATATACCACAGGGACTGATTTTGTAATTGGAACCTACTCCTTTGGCAGCTCTGATTAGATCAGATTTAGTGGTTATGATTAATGGAGCTGGCATTTTTTAACTTCTTCAAAACTTTTCTATGTGCATGCGTGTCTGTGTCTTTAATTCACTACACAGAAATTCCACTCTCATCAGCACGATATTTTACCCAAATTGGTATAAAAGTATTTAAAAGCAAAGAGACACTAATGGCAAAGAAGCACACATATGAAGTTTGGTGAGTTAAAAGCAGACAGTGTGTCATCACTCAACCTTGTTAGTGTTGAACTGAGAAGAATCAGCAAACGGGTTAGCACTACTGAAGACAGCTGGTCTACAGAAAAGACCGTTCTGAGGGAAGGGCAGGGAAGGGTTCTAAAAGGAAAACATAACAGAAACCAAGCAAAAACATTTTTAAATGAACCCTTTGTGACTCATGAAACAAAACATATTTATTTAGCTGTTTGTGCTAACCAAACAAGGTCCACCTCCTGCACTTTACTACAGACATGGGAAGATAAGCAAAACTGTATTTGCCCTGTGTTTGTATCAGCTATGTTTAGTAGAGCATAGAGGAAAAGCAATGATCCTCATACCTGTTCTAGCCCAGAAAGCACATAAAGTGCAGAATTCTGCAGCATGAACAACAGAAAATTTGCTTGCTGTAATATTTGCACAATTTTGTCCAAGTACCTCAGTATATGGGATACTCTAACACATTAGTTAAATATAAAATTGTGGATTTCTGCATTAGAATAAACACAATTCTTTATAATAATGCAGTACGTTTAGATTATTTTGAAAACCACAGATTAATTCTCATAATTTGATTTAGGTCTTTTGGTAACACACTAACTGGGTATTTCACAAAAGAGAAGGTTTAGTAGTATTAGGCATCTCTAACTGGATTTCGAATCTAATAAGAACTTTCACAGATTACTTTGTATGTGTGTGCATGCATCTACAATTTTCTGAATTTACAGTTTAATGAAACTAAAATCTCCAATCTTCTCCTTAAACAATACAAGGTACTTCCTCATTATTATTTAACACAAAAAGAGTTTTCATATTTAGACAAAATTAAAGGATGTAATCAACCACTTATATTCGGTATGCAGTTTTTGTACTGTACTGTAATTTTAAGATCAGAACCTGTTTAATAAAGAGAGAACAACTCTGATTTTGTATAGTACATTGGAAATACTGTTCAATGTATACTTAAAAGTAATTTCTACACTAGGTGTATCCATCTGGCAATCACCTAAATGTCTTGGGGCCGTAAGTTTAACACTGCTGGAAAATAAGCAGCATAGTGGAAAGGATGGTAAAAGGCTTGCAGCATCAACCGGTATTTTTATATCACAGTAATTTAATCCAGATATATGTGGCGGTTTAAAAATTTTCTTAAAGCATTCTGTTTTTTTAAATGCTCTTGAAAATAGAAAATATATTCTTAAACATTTATTCTCAAATATTATTTTGCAAAACAAGAAGTAATGTAATTTGGCAAGACAACATAAGTCTTGGTTCTACAGTATCTTCAGCAATGAGAAAGCAGAGCTGTGCATGAACAAGGTTTCTTCACCAGTGAGTCACTCAAAGTCAACAGGCACTTTCTCTACAGTACAAGATTTTCCGCTTACACATGCAATTCACATTTGATTCTGACTTTTATAAAGAGAAGTTTGGGAAAAGTAATTTGCCAGTGTAACGATCCTATTACATTTGTCATCTGCATAAAATTTTTAATTGTATCTTGATTAAATTTCAAGCAACTAAAACAAGCATCACAAACATTTTGTATATAAACAGTGAAATCCTAGTAAAAGAGAAAACAAAAGACCAGCCACAGTAATTCAAATCCTGCCTTTTGTATTTTTTCGTGATGCCATAGCACCTAAAATAGTACTGCTAGCTCAAATTCTAATCCATGGACCAAGCATTGTATTAATACGGTCTGATTACTGTGCTAAAACATGAAGCACTTGAGTTTGCCTAAACAGCTACATTTAACATGCTTTCTTGCACAGTCTAGGACAAGAAAAGCAAATGGTAAAATAAAGGATATTTTCCCTTTTATCTTTTTTTTTTCCCCCCAAACAAAACCTAAAATAACAGGATTTATTTTACCTTTTTTTTTTCCCCCCAACTAACATGTCTTCAGCATTTCATTAATGTGTCCAGGATGCTAAGGTATCAGAAACTAGCTAGCATTTCATATAGCACAATGCTCTAATCCTACAAATTACCTGGGACAATAACCACAGTGATAGATTAATTCTTACTCAGAAATACACAGAGCAGTACCAGTATGGAACACAGATTTGACGGATAACTGCTTGCTAGCAAAACTATCAACTAGTTTTTCACGGTGCATTTGCATTATTAGGGCTATTCTGGACTACACTTAGAATCTCTTTAACTACTACAGAAGCCAGGCAGAAAAAAAGGGAGGAAGAAACTGCCTCATTAGCAATATGACACTTGAAACTGACTGCCTTGCTAAATACATAGAGGTACCATATTAAAGACAGCTACTGTGTGCAGATAGCTAGCCATCTGGGTGACTGCACAGGAATGAAGGCGGGAAATTCCCTTATAAGATCTTAGTATAAAGTACAGATGCAAGTTTCGAAAGATGAAGACAATAAATATGCCATTTACAAAGATCACAATGCAACGCGTGTGTACAGTAAGAGCATTTGCAATATTTCTGCTTACAGAGAAACAAAGGTTTGTTAATAAACAGCCAAGAAATAACTAACAAGCTTAATAATTGGAAAATAAAGAAAACAAAGAATCACAATTAATAATAGCAAAGAAGCATTCTCTAAAGAAAAGTGGTGATAGAGTAATGGCATCATTCCCATCACAAACTGGCCTAAACATTCAGCAGTGGTAGTTTTGTTCACATCACAGCAAATGCAAAAGCTTTACTTTAGTAGCTTGAGTATCAATAACCAACATTCAACAGAGCTTTTTCATGCAACTTTACCTTAGATGACTGATGATAAAATGGGTTAGTAGTTTTCTGCCCACAGGGAGCAGAAGCTGAAGAAGGGCTATATAGAGACTCGGGCTGGGGAACAAGAGTTATGAGACGACTAGTAAATAAACATGCAGCTTACACAGACTCTGCAATGAGGCAGTTTAGTTTCTAGTGATGCAAGCAACTTATACTAAAGCTCAGTAGCTTTTGTCTGCAATGTCCATGCAGCTTAGTGACAGAAAACTTCCGTGTACTTCTACGTCCTTTCATTAATGTCCAATGAATTTTTTAACAGGCGCTGTATTTCTGCATGCACTCCTCAGACATGCTTCAATCTCTAAGAGCTGGTTTTAGTTAAGACTCCTACTCTGCCCCCCAACAAATTATCTTTCTTGAGGCTTTTCAAAATAGTTTGAGGACGGCGTGCTGGAGGGTAATTCCAAATCCAAATCGATTTCATTCTAGATGGAAATAATACTTAAATCAAATCTTTGTTCCTAAAATAGCCCAGATGGAACTTTCATGATTAAATATCCCATTCCCAAACACCACCACCTTGAATATTTGTTTCATCTATTACTACGTATTACATCTCTTTTCACATTCTTTATGCTTACCCTTGGTCTGCTTATAATGCTCTGTACCATAAAGACTACAGGATTGCCTGCCTTCCGTATGGCTTCCACAGCTTGTTCGTGGCTGGCATCTCTGAGGTCAATTCCATCCACCTGTAATTGGAAGGCCTCATCTTAACATTGCAAGAAGCTACAAGAATCATGAATCAGCTTTGGGTTTTGGTTAGGGAACTCTGACTAAAACCTAAGCCCAAACGTTTGTTACTGGTGGAGAGGTTTCTACTGACTCAGCCTGAGGTCCCTCACACACAGGCTTGAGATTTCCAAGAGCACTGAAAGGACATAAAAAAAATATTCTCCATGGTTTTAAAAGCAAGTTTTTCAACATTCTTGGTTCAGGCTCCATACGTTTTCCCACAGGCAATGTTATACAAGAGATATGATAGTGAGAAGAGATAAGGTAACCTGAAACGAGTGATAGCATTTGTCAAATACCGCCTCCTATAAATCCTATCTTGGAATAACCTACCTGCCAGGACTTTATGAGATCTACAAACTGAAACTTGTTAGGTGCTGGAGGGTCTTTCATTACGGGATATTATGTCAGTACAGTGTACTTTTTTCCTTTCTTTCCATTCTCCCTTTTTTTTTTTTTTTTTTTTTAAGAGCAAGATAAGAGCAATTTTAGCTACTAGACACTTTCCCCAGAAGTTAAATTTTCAGGTCAAAGCTGAAAAGCTTTCTCTCATCTAGAAGAAAGCATTTACAAAGGATGGCTAAGGTCAAATTTTTCCCTGGTTGCTTTTCTTCATGCCTTCGTATGTACTGGTGCATAAAACAGCTCATCTTGCGAGCCAGGTAAGAACTATGTTATGGTGAGGTTAGCATCAGTAAAGCATTCTCACAATGACCATAATAAAAGCTAGAAGATAACACAGAAAGGTTATTTATTAGTGGCAATTCCTGAACAAAAAGTTATATAATGAGGATTACTCCTACCTTTTTAGTTGTCTTACTCTACCTGAAACTTAACCATCCAATGTAAATTAAAAGAGCACAAAATCAATCTGAGAGAAAATTCTAAACCTATGAGGAACTGAGTAACACTAAAGCTCTCTTGACTCCCCATGTCTGAAATACTGTACGCAGTAGCAGACAGAAAAGCCTAGATATGCCACAACTTGAGAAACAAATAATTCATTCAGAAACAGACACATTAACACAACATTGGCTACTTAATTTCATTCATCCACTCCAACTTCTGCAAGCATCACTGTCAGAGACAATTACTGCATTCATAAAAATCCAGGTATTCAGATATAATGACTGCTTTTTAACTTTGTGGCCATCAAGCTAAATTCCACCTCCCAACTTGTTATTACCGGAATCTCTTCCATCCTGTTGCTGGAAGTGCTACCTATATTAAAGTATTACTTCAAGATCCTTTATATGGATCTTGTAGCAGACAGTAAACTTCAGTTTAAGTTTCACCATGTAAACCAAGTCCAGTCTGTTCCAGGGGAAGAATCACCATCTCCATCACCCTGCTTGTTATGTTCTTACTGATGGACAGTCAGCTAAGGACTCCAGCAGGATGAAGAGGAGTGCAGTTCCTAACGGCCTGACACTGGAGACAAGGTGAAGTATGACTTATTGATAATCATCACAGGAAAGACACATTCCTTTCAGTATGTTCATTCTTCAGTATCTTTAGGTGAGAAGGCAGAAGTGGCTGCATGAGCACAGGACTGGCTAGATAAATCTAGATAAATTTCTCCCTGCAACAATACTGGCTACCCTATCCTCAGGCATGGGCACAATGCCCTTAACTTCCTCTGTATCAAATCCAGCTTTCTTCATGTCAGGAGGAAAAAAATTGTGTCTCCCTTAATTCTTGCACAAGAATGATGTGATCTGATTAAGATTTAGGAGGGAAATAAGCTTGGCATTTATTTGCATGATCTGCTATTCACTGGCCCTTTCTGTTGCTACCCAACATGCAATAGTAAAACGTTTTAGCTTCACCAAACTTTTTTTCTACACATGCTGGCTTTAAAACAGGCAGGTAGAACTGCTGGGTTTGTAGACCCCTGCTCACACAGTCAGTCATCTATGCTTTAGGTTGTATATTCAACTTAAAGCTGCCTGCACACAAACATGAGCAGATGGTACTACACTCTGCATGGCTCAAGTGGTGCCAGCTGGAGCAATTACACAGCTGTCAGCTCAGGACCACACATCCATCTCAAAGGCTCCTGAGATGCTGAGGATATTGCAAGCAAAAGGCACTCGGCTGGTACCTCCACGATCCGATCTCCGGTTTTCAGCGTTCCATTTTTGCCAGCTGGGCTGTCTTCCAGGATATGCTTGATGAAGATCCCTCTCATCACTTCTCCATTACTCAGGCGGCTCCCCATCCCTCGTCCTCCAACAATGCTGATCCCCAGTGACTTGCTAGGCTCTCTCCAGAGTTCAACTCTGTTGTGATAAACAAGAACCGAAATAAATGAAAATCTGTTGTGATTATGACACTGCTGCACAATGAAGACACCTGGATTTGCACAGTGGTTTAAAAACACTCAGAAATAACTTCTTCTGGGAAAGTTTTGTCTTTCAGTGGGAGTTATCTACTGAATTGCTCAGAAAGTCTGTAATTGTGTCTATTGTTCACTTTATTTTGGATTCTAATCAAAACTTTGAATCCTTCTCTTACCTCTTCTTAATGGCTCCCAGAGAGTCACCCTATAAAGATAAATCACTAAAGCAATCAAGAAACCACTAGATTGCAGGAATTTAGCCCAATGGTAGTAAAAATCAACAGCAAATTACTCCTGCAATGTACAATATACTTAGGTGCAGCAACTCTGTTGTCTTCTTATTCCCCTTAAAATGTATTACAGGTTTCAGAATTTTTGAATTCAGATGAGATTTTATACTGTGTAACCAGATCTGCACTTACTTTCTGGGCTGGTTCCAGCTACTGAAAGCTGCATTTTGAAGTTCACTTTCTTCTCCCTCCCCCTCTTCACGCTCTGGAAGCTCTGGGAGTTCCCTGCTGATGAACAGAACCATGCAATTCATTTTTAAAGAACCCACATAATCACTAGATTTCATTGCAAAATTTCATGTACTGGATCACCCTGCCAGCATTAGAATTTGTACACAGGGCTCATGTTAAGGAACTACTTTTTCAGATGTCTGTTAGAACACATACTGTATTTGGGGATTCCCTGTCCACTTCTCTCTGCAATTAAGTGGCTAACAACTGACAACCACAGAATAAAAGACACTGCATTTTGGAACTAGGACTAAATCAAAGCTGAAGGTAATTATTTATTGTTTCCAAAATGGAAGAAATTACAACAGCAGCATTCAAAAACAGTTATTGCTTTTGGACATTAATTTCAAGAAAACAAAAATTATTAGTCACTTTGTATATTTTGACCTGTAACGAATTTTTGAAACTCAAGGAAAAGGACAGCACAATTCTTGCTTTCCAGTGTATGTTGTGGAAAGACTATCAATGCCAAATTCTCATGATGGAAGCACTGAGTATTTGTGGCAATAGATAAATCAAATTGCATGGCATTTAAGAGAAGTTTAGGATGAGGCAGTATTCAATCTCAGTTTGGGGTAGATCAAATACCTATAAAACAGCCTTGTAAAAATGTCAGAAAAATTTGCTAGCCAAAGTAATAATTGTATTCTGAACAGATTTTTATTGTAATGGTCTGAAGAAAATAATCCATCTTTCAGCTGTTCTAAAATAAAACTTATCTTCCTGAACTGTGCAAAGTGTATGGAAAGAGTTACGTCTGAGAGTTCTATGGGAGAAAATAGTAAGTCTTTTGACTCACCTGACAGTATGTGAAGGAAAAAGTTCAAGTGGCACAGCTCCCTCTGTCTGTCGTCCCAAACTGGCCCTGTACTCTTCCAAATTTTCTGCGGGCACATACGTAACACTGCAATAAAATGGGACATCATTACAGTAGCATGAGGACTGCAGGTCCTACCTTTGGTGGGTGTGAGGAGTGGATATGAGGAAGCCACTCAAGACCACTTCATATAGTCACTGACTTCAAAGCCACAATGCTGGTATGTTGGGAATAAGGAGTTATATGAAACCTATGTGACTTTGCAAAAAATATGCATTTATGGTCAAATTAGGTAGCTGAACAGCATATAATTTTCTTAGGGCTGGCCATTCCATTTTAAGTAAATGCTGCTTGAACAGCAACAAGAGTTCAAGAGACAATCCAGCTTCAGTCAAAACAGAGATTCCTCATGCAAAGACAAACACTGAAGGATCTGTCAGATGTGAAGCACCATTACCATCCTAAATGCTGGCTGAAAATGCTTCTGGAAATTGGCTTGCAGTAGGTTTTGTGCTTTCTGTGCAGTTTTGTATCTATTTTAGGTTACTATGCTTTTCGTGAAAGATACTGTATGGGTTTGGACGTACAACTGTGTTACAGCTCACCACCTATGCCGGAGGGAGCAATCCCCTGCTCAACTCCTTCCTCCACCCCTTCAAGCACTTCCAGCCAGCTTGGAACAGACAGTCACGTTTCATCAGCCAAATGACACGCAGACTCCTGAAGCCCTGATGTAAGCCAATCATGTCTGAATGTCAGAAACAGAAATGGCCCAATATACTGGGGAGGGGGAAATAAAGAGAAGGAAAAAAGATTAAAGCACGAAGAATATTTCTGAAAAAACTTGCCTCTACACGCAAAAAGGACATCGTGATCTAAACAAAGCTACTTAGATGGCCCTCCTTTAACAATGTTCTGTCTTCTTAAAAGCCTTTAGTTATTCAATAAGCAGCTTAGTTATCAGACCCAAGCCTGCCAAGAAGCGAGGCTGATGGAAAAAGAACACAAAAAAACCTGGCTGTCCTCTTATCCATCAGACAGTTAAAAGAAACATGAACATATTTCCCCACAGAATACATGGCGGGGTTGTGGGGGGTGGAATCTTGACCACTTCACAAGGGCATGTAAGCTGCTGAGAAGAGACTCCTTCAGCTCTGAGTCTCCCACCTACCTGGAGCTCTCTCCTGTCTGTCACTCCCCGATTGTAGTCATCTTCTGCCTGTCACTCCCTGACTGTCACTGATTCCCCCTCTCATTGGTTTTCTGCTGAATAGAGTCAGCAGCAGAAGGCAGAGCAAATAAACTTCTACACTACTAATGCCATCCATCCAAAACACTCCACCAAAACTATCATAAGGACCATCTTTGTATTCTTCATCTGTGCCCAAGCATGTTTCCTACTTCTGTTACATCTACCCTATCTAGAAAAGTACAGAAGATGGCGATTAAAGAAGTACCTAGGGTGCTGAATGGAAGGAACTCTCCTGTTCTTTTAATGGAAATTTCTAAATCACCCATATTATCACCAGCTTTTTCTCTCCTTTAAATCTCCTCCCTCTTCTGCTTTGGCCTTTTTTCAAACATGCATGTGTCATGTGCTTGACACAAAGTGTTTTCATTTTGAAGTGCTGGGGAGTTAACATACCCTAGGGAACAAACACTCAGCAGAAGGTCACTGACTCTCATCTTGTCTTTCCTGTAGGCATTCCAGCACTGGGAAACATGCAGGACAAGCAACAGTTACTCTGCGAAGCCCTAGCAGTGAACTAGACAGAAGCAAGAGCGAAAAGAGTTTTTGAAAATAGTCACTATTACTTCTCAGCCATCTCCAACTCCAAATGTGTTGAACCATAGCAAAGTGATAGTATTATGGTCACAAAACTGTCATGGGGCAAATGCTGCTGCAGAAACACCACCCAGTAAGCCCCTAAGAATACCTTGCCTCTACAAAAGCTATGAGATGTGCAAGCTGCATTTCAATGAAAGAACATGTATCATTCATCCAGTTACATTCATCAGTTTCATCCCAATCAAATTCATCAATTCCCACCCTATAAAAATAAGTAGGAAATAATATATTATCCCTCAAAAGACAGCTGCAGTAAAGAAACCAGAATTGCAAGCAATATTTCTGCTGGTTAGAAGGCTTGGACAATCTCTTTTTTTTTTCGCAGCTGGAAGCTATTGTTCACGGAAAGGAGAATGGCAAGCTCCTAAAAAAGAAATGGATATGCCCAGATTCAGCCTGGATGTAGACAGCAAAATGTGATCACTGATAGTCGAGCGTCCGACATCTTTCAACTCCTATCCAGTCCTTTTGTGCAAAGAGTACATGGCAAACAATTATGCAGAGTCCCAAGGTCGAAGGATAGCAGTAGTCCTTACCTCACACTTCTGTGTAACATCAGCATTACAGACCAGCTAAGCAGGGAAAAACCATATGTCCTCCAACTTCTGGGATACTTTGTTGTTTTTCATTATATACATGAATAACTGACATTGTGCTGGGACATTCAAAAAGTACAGCTCAAAGGATGCTCTCAAATAGCCTTATATGCTACTTACAAACATCTCCCAAAAGCTCTCTTAGGTAGGTAAACTTCCTTTCCTCTGTACAGCACAGGAACTGAGAAGAAAAGAGGTTCACTCCACCATTTTTAAAAATGCATCTAAAATTGAGGAACTGAATTACCTTATTGATTTCCACAGGAGTCAAATATAGATAGTATCACTGGGAGCTGTTACATTTTTGCTCTTTGGAAAATTACATCATTTCTATTTTAGTGCTTAACTACAGTTCTAATTGCCTAATTTTAAGCATTCAAAGGAATATTCAGTATGCTTTTAACTGTTCAATCTTATCTACAACTAAACTTCAAAAATGCTTCAGCTACTTCATAAACTAGAACACTTACTTGCATTTTGCAAAAAAAAGCATAGAAAAGAAAAGTAAATTACATGGATCAAATGCATGAAAAGGTGTATTCTGTGTAGGAATTCACCTTTTTTTCTTGCTCATGATTTCCAAAGTCCAATTAACTGCAAAGATTTCCCTAGCTGCTCTTATTAGCTAAGCTGTATTACTGATGTGACTGTCTTCTCCTCTCTTCTTTGCATGTTACTATTGAAATGAAAAGTTACAAAAAAATCCTAGCTCTGATGTAAATTAGTTTTAGGAAATATGTGTACCAGAAAGCCATCTTTGCTTAGTAGCTGTCTGTCCTGCTCCTGCCTTCTTTACCACACAGCAAGCTCAGATTGTACTAAAGACCTTGGACTTGTATCTGCCAAGCTTTTTCCCTGTTTAGTACTTCAAGGGCAGATATGCCACAGTTATCAATCCATCAATTGCTGGATCGCTACCGTAGCTCACTTCTTGCAGGTCACAGTGAGGTCTGAAGACATCCAGCATCACCCTGAACTGCTCCAAGCGTGACTGGAACGATGAGGGGCCCAGAACAAGAAGTGTGTTGGGCTCCTCTGGTCAACTCTGTTGACCCTTGTGCTGTAAAGTGGAAATAAAAATCCATCCAGGCACCTGAATGGTTCCTCTGCAAAAGGGATTGACAATTGCCTTAACATGGTCACAGGGGAGACAGTAAGAGAAACAAGTGCCAGGAAACAGGGATGAAGACACAGAAAACAGGAAGTAAGTGAGTGACTGCTCTACTATTGTGTTGCATTTCTTACCTTCTAGAGAAGTTAAGGTTCAATAATTTCAAGGGAAAGTATATGCAGGGTTTAATCATTTCCTCTCTTTCATAGCTGTACAGTTTGAAGGAGAAAGTGTTCTGGTTTCCTTTCTTGGGAGCTACAACCACCCTGCTCCCCCCAGAGATACGCACTAGCAATGAAAGCAGTGACAATGGAAACACCAAAGGGTGTACATATGAAAATATCTTGTAAACACAACACTGCATGCAGTAGAGAGGAACATTTATCACATGCTTGACTGAAGAGTCACACAAAACCTTGAAACACCAACAAACCAAATAACAAATTATGGAAGATGTTCAGGACAAATTACTGTCATTAACATTTAATGTCTAATTTGAACCTTTTTATACATGAAGGAAGTAAAATGTAAGTGCCACAGAAAATATGACACTGAGATTAATCCAGATATCAGTACATCATACTCATGCCAATTCTAGCAGTGAACCCTCTATACACACACACACACACATACGTGTGCTCTTAGCATGTCTGGGGTGGCTATCATAGATGAAATTTAAAAATATCAGCTCTAATTTTTCAGAATACAGGTGTTTTCACTCCAGGCTTAGGAAGTATGCTCCAATCTTCAAGTTTAAAGCCATAAATACATATATGTATACACACACACACTTTCATACCTTTTTTAAAAAATATATATACACATATCCACACATGCAGCCACACGTGCATGCATACACATACACACAGAGAATATGTACCTGTATCTGGATATATCCCTGACGTTACTATGGATGTCATAAAAGCATGGAATGATTTTACAGACAAGTTGCAACATAGAGCCACAATGAGTTTCTGAATCGCCAATACTCACACATAACAGAGGGCCTGATCATCAGCAGGTGCTGGAGAAGATCTAGAATGTGAAGCATACGATGCAGCATCTTTTTACAATGGTGTTAACAAATGTCAACGTCTCATGCTGAATCTGAGAGGCATATTTACGTAGTTAAAAGTGTGAGCTGCTTTTTTTTTTTCCTTTCTCCTTTTTATCTTCTTTTTTTTGCTATTCCACCTCCGCTTCACCTACACCTCCCCCAGAAAGCATCTGCTCTTTATTATTGTCTATGGCAGTGATTATTAACAAGCACGGAAAATGGAATTGCAATCTATCCTTTATTTCTTGATCAGGAATTCATCCCCACATTTTAGGCAGGTGAATTCTGATTCAGCTCTGTAATTATCTGACAGATGCTACAAGCAGCTGCTGCTGAGCACAAAACCCTGGGTATTATCACAGAAACATACGAGCTCCTGGCAAGGTGAAGTGAGAAGTGAAACAGAATGCATTCTGGTAAGGCCACACATCTGGTTTTCCACACTTAAAGGGGAAAAAAATAAAATACCTAAGACTGAATCTCAGATTTCTCATTCTTGAACTATTCAAAATCAAATTTCCTTTAACAAAATAAAACAAAGCCTTTATGTGGCAAGTAAGAACAGCTTTATGTTTTCTCATCAGATAACATTTGCCACTGAAATACAACTTTGAAATTAAAATACTTCTGCTTAATCGCTTTTTGGGGACACCCTGCTACCAAAAAACAGATCAGTCTAAAAATTAAAGTGCCAAATTTGCAGCCCTGTATGGATAAAGAGGAATGATATCTAGATGGCCACACCTGAGTGCTTGTGCACCCTTGTTTCCCGAGAAAGACACCAAAAAGATTCAACTTGCTTATTTGAAATGTTTGCCCTTAAATCGCAAATCCTGCATGGTGGTGCACCACACTAGCTCTGAAATGACATCTATACAGCAAAAAGAAAGAATTATCATGAGTTAATGCTCCATATCTCCAAATTTCTGAATTGGGGTATTAATCACATGTTTGTACCATAATATTTTTCTGGGATCCTGTACTGGCCCTGAAAGTACAAATTACAGGAAAGTTTAATTATGCTGAACAGGTTTGTATCAAAACTACGTAGGCCCCAAAATACTGTCTTCATTCTTGCAAGACTCCTTCAGAAACTACCAATGGATTTGGTCTTTCAGTTCTTTGAAAGCAAGCTGCAGAAGCCAGCTTCAATTTAAACCCTTATCATGGGAATGCACCAAAGAACATAAATACGAAATGAAAGACAAAAATCTTTAGTAAGAATATGAATAGAAACTGCCCCTTTTCTGTGAGATCTTTCAGAAAGGGAATGCACTTTTATGTGGAAAATCTGAATATTCATGTCTAAGACAAGATTTTGGTATTTCCAACATACCTGCAAAAAGACTAAGACTACAAAACAAAACTTATAGTCACATAGTGTAAAATGCAGCAGCTATAAAAGAATAAGTACAAATAATGAACACATCTGTGTTTGATCACGTAACTACAGTACTAATAAAAGACCCCTTGCAAAAGAATGGTGCTGTAGCACTTGCATATCTAAGCAGATGTACACACACATGCATGCACACATACAAACGTGATTTCAGTCTTGGCAGTCAGAATTATAATACAGTTTGAAAGCCTACAATAACAATCAACGTCACATTTTATCAACACTGACTCACTCATATTCATGACAGCATTAACAATAATGTAATTCATTATATGAGCAGATGCCATTATTTAATCAAGCTTGCATTAAATCACAGTCCTAAAGGCATGACAGCTATGGGGCAGTCAATTAAACCTGCCACTCACAGTGAAGATACTTTGTCTATCTGTTGCCAAAATGCTAGGTCTCTTCAAAGCTAGAATACTTCTGGGGAAGAATGGAATGCTCTGGAGTCCATTTTCAACTGACAGAAACCACAGTTACCTGCAACTGCACTGAGACTGAACTAATCCCTTTTAAGGCCACCCTCTTGAAGTAGAGGCTTCTATTACCAACACCTCCATTAACCCCATTTGCAGCTCTGACCCAATTCACGTTACCATGGGTTTGAGAAAAACAGCTACTACATTTTTGGAGCTGTCAACCCAGCACCAGTGTGTTTAGAGCACTGTCCACAAGCTTAGGAACAACCTCATTTCTAGAATGTGTATGTGTGCAAAGTTAACTCCACAACCATAACAGCTAGAAAGAATTGTACTTTAAAGGAAAGTTAAAATTCTGTAAATTGAGTGAATTTGCGAAGAAGAAACTTGCTCATCAAGCAATCAGATTTTTTAAAACTTGTACTAATTACTGCAAGTTTAAAGTAGTACTCCCGAGAGCAGATACTGCACTAGAGCAACAGTTTCTTCTTAGGTACTAATAAAAACTTGGAAGTAACTTCACAAAACAGACTGTTTCTGCTGCTTGTCACAGATGTACTGGAAATGTTTTGAGTATTACTTTTCTGCATTAACATCATGTGTCATACTTTCTGTATGGCAGCCAAAACCAAAACCCATTACAAAGATGTTCATCAAATTAAATCACTTGTGCAATGGCCAGGACAGTCCACCTTTGAGAAACACAAACACCCTGAGGAAATCCTTACCTTCCATAGAATAGTCATACTATGAATGCAAAACTCTGCCTAATCCCCTTCCTTCAATAAAACCAGGCAGGGCAATAACGATGATGATTACACTAATGACAGTAATAACTTTTCTAAGAACAACCAAAGCCTCTCACACAAGTGATTCTATCTTTCAAACCCATGAAGCTGTAATCTGAAGGAGAATTACACATCTGAAACGGTAACTTAAAGGAAAATTCATGTTGTAAAAACAAACAAAATTTTCATTTAGAATACTTCCATAAATTACCAAATTTTGATTATTAGCCTCTTCCTACCACAATTCATCATCTACCTACTTTATATCCGGTCCAATGAGCGAATGCCTCCTCAGCATAGCCCGGGCTTGTGCATTGGTTAAGTTAGTGGTTGACTCTTCATTAATGGACAGGATGCAGTCCCCCACACCAATCCGTCCATCACGACTTATTGAGCCTCCATGGATGATGCTGCGGACTATCATTCCTGAGCCGTCTTTATTGGAACTTACTGTCATCCCTATAGTGAAAAACACATGGAACAGTTAATAATGTCTTTGAGCCCCAGCTCTGAGTGCCAAGAAAAAGAAACTTAACCTGAGGCAGGGAAGGTAAAAGCCAGCCAGCCAACTTGCCAATGTCAGCAAGTCTATAAACATTGCTCTCATTCACCCTTGCATTTCCTTCTTTCCAACAGGAGACAGCAGTTACAAATCCCAATCACGGAATCTTTACCTTGTTTCATTTCACATACCAGGCTCAGTATAAAAAAAAACAAGACAGTGGAAAATTTAAGCAGAAAATAAACCAAAAAGGTGATGAAATTGCTTCTAAAACAGTCAAATTTACCACTTTTCTGGATGGTTCACCAAGTTTATACACCACATTTCGGTTCAGTTTATGACGGTTCTCTTTGGAAAGGAGGTGAAATGACTAAATAGTTAATTAGGAGCACAGGGCCAATACAACCACACACTTATTTTCAACAGAAAGCCTGAATCAGATCCCACTGAGACAGTGGCTGCCTTCCCACTATCCTAGGTGGGGCATAGCTTAGGCCCAGAAAGGCATCCTGACTTTTGTGAGGGCCCACACACTACTGATTATCTGATACAGTCCACTACTTGAGTTACACCACGATCCCACCTGTGGCACAGCAAGACACTAATTCTCAATGTTTACATGCACCATTTAACTCCACTTTCTTTTCACTAATGGGAAATGAGAGAGAGATGCTCTTCCCCCTGCTCCCCCATGGGGAGCCCATCGAGACTTACTTGTGATGCTGGGCTTCACGTGTCTTTGTGACTGCTCTTACATGCATGAGTTGCCACTGTTAATTCCAGGGCACGAAATCAACCTTGATGACAGTTTCAGGAAAAACTGTTCTTCACTAAGGCAATGGAAAGGTGGCTGAAAGGCCAGCACTATCTTTATACTGCCAAACTCATTTTTATTCTTTTTTGTGCACTAACATGGAAGCTTTCCTTTACTAACAAGATGAAGCCACTGAACTAAGAGCATCTTATAGACAAATATCTATTGGAGAAGGAGGCCATGACTACCCCACTATGTGCTCTCCTGGTTTTGCATGTAAACATCAGGCTAGCAAGCACTGGGATTGCAGCTGTGTGTCTGCAAGCCCTTACCTTATTGTCCAGACTATGAGTGGAAGGAAGATGACAGCTACCCAGAGCAAAACCTCCAAGAACACTGACTACGAAGAAATTCTAACCATTTATATACAAACATAGCTCCACAAGCAACTGAACACTTTACTCTGTGACCTTAAACCTTGGGTGACTGACTGGCTGAACAGAGTTTAGAAGGCAGCTATAAGCCCCAGGCTACCCAGACTCAGTCAATCATACTAACATCTGCCTATGTATCTGTCTCAGATAAAATTAAAAAAAAACACAAAAAACTCTAACCATTTAAAGAAGAACACTTATCCAGATATTCACTTGTACTTTTTAGGACTCCTTTCAGAAAATTAAAATCTTTTTAACAGAGTCAGCTCCTCACACCCACTTGTAGTTGAGATCAACATTGCTGCCTAAAGTATGCTAAGGTGGCCCTGACTAGCAAGGAACCATCCAATGAGCTGCTTAGACACAGGAATACATGTACCTCTCTGCTTTGGTATGCAGAAGTCAAAGTTTATCTTTTGGAAAAACTGCAAAACTCATCTAATGATGGTACTTTATATTAAACTGGTAAAAGAATATGGTGTTACCATTGACTGGAGTTTTGTATTTATGATTTGCCAGGTGATGATGTCAGCTGTGGTACAGCTGTGATACATGCACATATCAGACTTGTGATACAGACACACAATGCCAATGATTTATTGCCTTGCTATTAGAAAAAACAGAGGTAAGTTGCCTGTCACCTACCCCTCAGATGAGAAACGTTATAATGTTGTGCACATTACACATGGCATTAACAGGTGCCATCCTTGGGTGGATGCCCCAGCATTTACACTCGCGTACTCCTTCCAACAACCATCTCTTGATAGATCTGCTCACACAGGTTACCCAGTCAGATCTGACTGAAAACACAACTCTGCAACAGAGTGTTCTCCACCAGAATACAGGCAGCATGCACATTAAAGCAAACTGCGAAGGAAACAGCTGAAATGTGGTTTGAAATTCTGAACCTAACTTTGCTGCTTGGTTAAGCCAGTGACAAAAAACAGTATTACTGAGGCTAACGTAATAGCACTTTAGAAAAACATCACCCCCAGTTCCAATGCTGGCATCCTCATACAACAGATCTGCAAGGCTGATGTCACACTTTGCACACCTACAGTTTCAGGTTAAAAATGCAAATGCCACTGTCATGCTGCCAAATGAATCACATAGGACAATGGCGCTTCAGCTCTTTTTGCATGTGGGTGCTCCATCCTCTTACCTTTTAAAAACCACAACGAAAAGGTTACAGCTTCAGCTGTGGCTGGATTTGAAGAGCTGTTGCAAGCTACAGGTGACACCATTTAAAATGAAAAAAGAAGTGCCAGTTCTCAACCAAAATAACTGAAGGAGCTTCAGCTTTCAAAATCATTCACAGCTCTTGTTTAAGCTCCTTTTGTAAAAATGAAAGTTAAAAGCAGTGCAGCCATGTGTGGAAATTGGTCACTGAGCCCAGGCACCTTCCCAGGCCAGAGCACACACAGACTGGAAGAAAAAGACTACAGTCAAAAGCCAGTAGAAAGCATTATTCACATTCATACCGTGTATATATGAGAGGCCAGTCTTACTTTTCATGCCTGTAATGTCTGCCCACATGCACCCTGCTCCATGTTTCTATTTTCATGCTGTATCACACTTGACATAAAATTTGCTTTCTTTGTTCACTACACTTAAAATACTCACAGACATTCATGAAAAACACTGCTTCATTGAGTTAAGAGGCGATTGCAAACAAAACTTTTTTAACAAAATCCAAATGCCTGGAACTGCACTGTGACCTGCACTTTATACTGTCCGGCAATGAGGCCAGTAAGCAGTAGTTCACCAAGCACCTCACACGAATGAAAGTCAAAAGTCAAAAGTTACACCCATATCAGCCTTACCTACATCTTTATATTTTGGGGAGGCTGATTTTAAACCACATCAGTTCCAGATCCAGTTTGGAGTCTGGCTGATACGAGGCAGACTGAGCACCCAGACATCAGAGGGCAGCTGATTCCAATCGGAAGCACCCACTGAATTACAGCATCACCATACCCCACCCACCTCTGCACAGCAAGGGAGTCCTAAGTGGTGGTTGTTTATGAACAACCTGCTCTGTGGACAACCCATCTTAAAGCATTTGTGGAGTCACTGCAAACAGCCAGCGTCCACACAAATTCCTGTTCTACCAACACCACAGAGACTTCAAGGATGTACAGTTACCCAGAAGAAATGGCACCAGGAACCTAAAGCACAGCAAATGAACACACCGGCCAGGAACGGGAGGGGAGCACCACTGCCTCCACTACAAAGTTCCCTGCGCTGGCTTTGGGAACTGGCCTGGGAGGATGCCATGCCCACTCTCCCCACCCAGGGCTGCACCAGAGACCAGGAGAGGACATCAAAAAATGTTTCCATCTGTTGTGCCTGTTCGCTCAAAAATGTGACTCTCATGAGTATGCTCAGGAAGCTGCAGACTGCAGAAATTCAAAACTCTGAAATTCTCTAAAAAATTATAATATCATTGAGCTAAAAATACTACCTAGTAAATGTATCAATGATCTGAATTTCAGAAATACTGAGGCACTTAAGACACAAGTACAAATAAGTAGCAAGGAAGCAAACAGTTTGTTTAGACCCTTTCGACGATCTTCAGAAAGCAAGATCATTTTGTGTTTACATATATTTGAAAGTCTAGTCTGCAGCTCTTTGACCAAAGTGTTCCTCTACAGCATTCCCTGCCTATATCTTGTTTTTCCACTATATTTCTTAAATGTATAGATAATAAAAACCAATGTATTAAAATTGCTCTGTTAACACTTAGGAATGACTAAACTCCTTTATGGGAAAAAGAAAACCCTCAGTGAGACTGGACACTTTACTTTTGTGTTCACAGTGGGAGCAAATGGATCCACTGCAACCATAGCCAAAGAGGGCAAGAGCAGGAAAGAATGAATGTCTTCTTATGCTTTCCCCATTAAAAGAAAAATGTTTAGTCTTTACTAGTAAAAGAGGAAACATATGAGAAAAACAGAAAGCCACGTTCCTGAACAGGTTACAAAACACATTAGCTGCCTTACCTAGACTTGAATTGCCTTTTGCAATAGTGATAGTCTTCTCACACATGTTTTTGTTTGAATTTGGTGTTGTGGAACTTCTCTCCAAAGATACTGGGCCTCTCTTTTCCATTAAAAGCACTTGATCCTAGCACAAGGGAAAATAACATCAGTTCAGAATACTGAGATAAAAATACAATTGGACATACTGACCTCAACTCATCTTACCTTATACAAAAGCTAGGTGTATAATTAATACAGATTTCTTATATAGACATTGGAAAAGTCAGTCCATCAAAGATCAAATCAACATACATGAGCTTCTGTTTTCATTCAGGTAATACAGTAAACCTACCACAAAGTACGCTTTTAATTTAGGGACAACAGTTACACTCTTAACATTAGCGGGATAAATTCAAGGGCTCTCAGACTTATTCAACACACATGTGTGATAATCTGCCACTGCTAAAGTAACAAATCTTGTAAGAAACTGCAGCTCTTTTAAGAATTTCTTAATAAATCACTGAAGAAAAAAGAAACACACGTCACAGTGACTACCATATAAAGGAACATTACGTTTGCACTGTGGCATCTGAAGCCAATTTGTGAGCTGAACTGTGCAGGTTCACACAAACATCAGATTGCAAAACTTTCATTCCACTCCCCCTTGGCTTCCTAGGCCCAGTTTCCAGCTGTGCACCTCCTCCTTGTGGCCATGCCTCTGTGGAGGTTACCAGGCGATAAGAAAAGCCCCCTGGCTTACCTAGCGGGTACACTGCGGTCCAGCAGTGTCTACAGCTGTGAGGTACAAACAAACTTTTATATACCCCTGTATCACCAGACTCTGGGACATGACTATCTTGATGCCATAAATTATCTCCTGTTTCGGACAGGTCTAAATCTGTAAGTTTTGATGCGAGCTACCACGTCTGACAGACATTTATAATCAAAGAACCACACATAGCTGTTGGCCAGTGTAAATTTCTGTAGGAGACTCTATGGCGTAATATGGCCTTTCCATAGGTTTTTTTTTATTATTATTTAAAAAAAAAAATCTTTACTTTTCCAGTGGGATCAAGCTGCACGGTAGTAGCAAGGCTTGTACTTGGTGCAATTTCAGTTGTCATCTGAGATTCAGTCCATGTTGCTGTGTTTTCACTTTCATTTTGGTTGATATCCGAAACATCCAGAGGCAGATCCTTTTTAGTAAAACCAGTTGCAGTTTCCAGACTATTGCCCACGACGGGCTTTTGCTCTCTCACTCTCTGATTCAGATCCATGTTGTACATATTTTTGTCAGATACATGGAAATCAGCTGCAGCATTTGAACATTCCTCTCCAACTGACTGTTAAACACAGGAGACAATGAACAATCAACATTTTTTTGTAGTATAATTAAAAAGTACATTTCGTGCTAAAATCATCAACAGAAACTAATCTTACAGAATTTAAACATACTTGTAACATCAGTGTCTTCAGTAGATCCCCATAGGCATTTTGCTATAAAATTTACTTGATCTCTGAGACAATTTCTTGTTTTAAAATACCAGAAATCAATGAAAATAAGTTACCGCTGAAGATCAGATTCTAATCCACTAACTTCAGTGAAGTAACGTCTACTCACACATTCTCAAACCAGACATAACTCCAGCAAGTTATTAGAAATAAAGCGTTTAATTGTCTTTCTCACGTGGAAGAACTTTGCAAGACCAAGGTCTTTACTTTCAAAACATTTAGCAAGCAAAGAGCAATTTCAAGCACATCAGAAAATAAGCATGTAACCTAATCATCCATTTAACTGAGTAGAAATATATTTAGATATGCCTTCCACACAAAGAGGGAAAAGTAAAAACTCAGTGAAATCTCAGCCAAAAATGAACACACAGATTTTGAAGTGTGACAACAAGCAAATACAATGAAGGAGTTACAGAAGCTTAGCAGTTAGTACCTATTGCAAGGGTATTATGGCTGCAGTAGTAGAATTAAGTTCTCTATACAAAATTTGTTCAGACTTTCAAGATTCCAAGGTCCTGCATTTCAAATATTTTAAGGGATTTCAAGAATCACAACCTTCTGAAAACCAAGTTCAAATATTCTCTAGTTGAACTTCCAAAATAAGTAATTTTAAAAACATGTACGCCATCAGATATTAGAAAAATTTATCAAGGACTTAGAGGTTGGACTTACAGGCTCTGTATCAATATTAAGGATTTTTCTCTGAAATGTAGTAAGATGTAGTCACAGCAATGACTACCTCTATCTGTCTTAATTGTTATCCACTGGCCCTATTAATTCTTCTATTCCTTTTCCAAAAAGTGGGGAAAACATATTTCCCAGGATTTTGGGCTATTTTGCAACATTTTGTATCACCAGCCTTAGAATCACTTTTTCTCATTGTTCATGAAGTGCATAAATGCTTGCTCTGTCCTCAGACAATCATAAAAAAGGCTGACCTGTAAATAAGTGGTTTAAGTAACAACTGAGAAGATAATTTAGCAAAGCCTAAATACAACTAATCTGCGTGATGTAATCAATGAAATAATTTCCTACCTTTTGGAGAACAGAACACCAGGACTATAATGTATTAAACTATTTCAAAGACAGCTGGGCCATTACTTTTAAGTCTGTTTTGTACCCTTTTCCAAAACAGTGAAAACAAGACCCGGATCGTACTCAATATTTATTCCATATGCTGTATATACATATTAGAGTTGCAGCATATGTCTGTTATTTTTGTTTCACTTAAAGAAAAGCCAATGCTGCAATTTTTGAAGACAAACACGATTTCAGGAATTTGTAACTACAACTACAGCAACTGTGTGGCCTCATTAGAGCATTTGCATTATTTTAAGTATTTTTTTTATCACCTGTTCTGAAAGTGATATCAAAGGCATTCAGAACCTGCTAACTGCCCTGCAGTCAGAAATAGCTGAAATACCTTTGCATTCCTCATAGCATCGAATAGCGATTTTTTCATTTTTACTGCATTTCACTTACTTCAAGAGTCTTCTTTTATGAACAGATTTTCTCACGATGTTTACTTTGTGAAGACACTCATAACTGCAGAATATAAAAATGCTACTTGATGGGAACTTAATACTCACTTCATACTGGTGCACAGAGAGTAACACTGAAAAGTCAGGACCATAATCTTTAAAAAAAACGTGTAAACCAAAGCCATCTTTAAGTTAATGCTGAAAATAACTTAAGACTTTCTAAAGGCTCAGCATGATATATAATGTAAATCTAGCCACTATCTCATAAAACGCTTCTCAGCATGCAAAAGGCATAATCCATTTAAGTAACAATTACAGAGTTAAACTACGCAATCTGTCCCACTGGCACAGCAGAGATGTGCTCTTCTGTGGATTAGTAGAAACGATTAGAAGATGAATTTAGCTTCCCAACCAGTGCCTCATAAGGGCTGAGCATATTCCAGACAGTATAAAGGGAGTTACTGCATCTCAGGTGTGGAGGAAAAAGCAGCAGTTACTCTATTCAAGACCACAGACTGCAAAGCCTGGAAGAAATCCCTACAATGTTGCTTTCAAAGATGAACGCTAGGAGAAATTACTTGGAAGACTCTAGATTAGCGAAATAAACCTATACATTGTCAAGAAAAAGAACATGAAAAACCATGGAGAGAAACAAAACACCAACTCTGATACAATCAATCCAGTCATTATGGGTATAAGACCAGCAAGAAAAAAGATACTGATCTTTGTAATACTCAGAGAATTTATCTTTAAATAGAAATTATTAGCAATCAGAGGTTTGATATATACATATTTACTTTTAATTACAGTATCATTATGAACATTTCATTCAAGAACACAGTAGATGAATTAGTAAACATACTAACTATGAAGTTTAAAGGCAAAGCTTAGGATGAAAACTTACTCCTGCTTTTCATACTCAAAATATTGTAGAATAATGCAGTTACTTTGTGTTACCACTCTTCACTATGCTCTGAAGTGGCAGACTGCTTACCACAGCCTTAACACTACAAACATCTCACCATACTTTATCTGGCTATAGAAAACACAAATCCAAGCTTTCAACCTTCTAACTGCCTCTCTCTTCAACACAGACATCTGAAAGACATCAGAACTACCCTAAATAAGACTGCACTTTAATCTGGTAACAAACAGTGCAGTTTGAGCCAGGATGACATAAAACACTTATATCTAATAACATAGCCTTTTCACACTTATAATCAAAGTTTCTCATCAATAAAACCATCCTCCTTTTTACCTTGGGAGTTGACAATGGAAGAGAGAAGCTGTAGTTCAGCTCACCGCTACAGGCACTGCCATGCAGAGCTATCATTGAAGTCTGGAAGACGTCACTCTCTAGAGAATACTGCGATTCAAAGGTGGACTCATCTGCTAGATCTGCCTCGCCGGAGTCCACCTAACAACAGAAGTAATTCAATCAGCCAGGCTATCTGTTACCTTCACACCACATAAGCCCTGAACACACGCACCTCAGCTGCTACATACTGACTGACGCTTTCCTTCTTTTTTTTTTCCCCTCCATGTTTTATATTGAAGTTATATTTGCATAGCACAGTAGGGAAAATTTCTGCTTCCAGTTACAATTCATGTTACTACTTCTTCAGAGGTTGCAAAAAATCTGAAGTAAAGTGAAAGTCTCAACTGGAATGAGTTGCAGGGCTAGGGCAGGCTCATGCCTGCTAATAGAAGTACGAGGTGTTTTCCTGCTGTACTTCATAGTAACAATATTTTTATTTCTTTACAGCTTTTTTTTTCATTTTAATTATCTTTCACAAGAATTAGCACTGAAAAAATAATGAGCTTCACCTATTGCCACCTGTCAGGAATCTTTCCTCCACACAACTTCATACGTTTGGTTGTTTTGAAAAGGGTATCAAATATAATCTTCTGGAAACTGCAATGCTTTCCAATACATTTATAAGAAAAATATATGACATGCTTTTTTATGATTTCCAAAATATTTAACATTTGACAACAAGATTAATATGGACAATTCTCCTGTCTTGCATGAGAAATAAAATTTTAAAAAGAGTTCCAGACATGGACATGGGTAGTATTTTTTGCCTTTTTTTTCTTAAATGAAATACAACTTTTTTCAAGACCGATACACTTTCAAATACTAGAATAAAATTAAGTCCTAAAAGAGTTAATTTACAGTGTCTCACATAATACATTTTGATTATAATTTCACCTCTCCTGGCAGAGCTCAAGAAAGCAGTGTATGCTAACAAAAATGATCAGTGAGTTGAGAGCCATGACCATATGATAAACTTGCATGAAGCAGCCAAGTGCACCCATCTGCAGAGAAGGGACATAACTTGTTTTCCAGCCTCTGTGGTTAATCATATTAGGAATTCTTTATGTCAGATTCACAACAGTAATAGCAACAATCTGCAGTGAGTCAACATATTGATTCCTTTTTGGGGTAGAAATGATCCATTTTTTTATTGTCTCAACCCTAAAGACTTAACAGCTAATTCAAAGTGCTTCTTTCATGTAACTTACTCTCAGCTTATCTTCTGGAAGATGCAGACTTGTGTTACCAAAGCTATGCCCTAAAAAAAGGATTGTGAAAAATGGGGACAGACCTGTAGAATTTGAGTGTAGATTTATCTATGAAAAATAGTACCTCATGGATGCACTCTGCAAACACATCTGGGTGACTGCACATTCAATTTCATATTTTGCACATTTAATTAGACATAGATAGATAGAACTGACAATTTAACCATATTATTATCTGCCATAAATTTTCATTGTTCTTTCACAAATTTTTTTTTAATGAATCACAAATAGAAGTCAAATTTTTAAATACTTGGTTTAATCTGATCTTTTCAACACATCTTTAATTAAAGGATATGTATAATATATAACCTAGTTTCTTCATACTTCTTCTCAATGAATAGAATAAGGTAAATACTATTATCTAACTACTGTACCAAGCTAACAAACTGCAGAAGAAAAAAAAGGTAGTCTTGTTTAAAAGCAAGTTATTAAAACTAGCTTGTCATCTGCAAATGTGAAAAAATGGCAAAGATATTGGAATCAGTAATTCAGACATTTTTGCCTTGGAACGATCCATTTCCGGGTTTTGTTTGGGTTTGGTTTTTTTTCTAATTAATTAAGTTCTGGTGTTTAGTAGAAACTGCTTCCTTACTCATGTCCCCAGAAAATGAGGGCCAAATAACTTCAATATCAAACCCAGATCAGTACAAATAACCATGAGAACGCACAATCGGAATATGTTTATATTCTGGGTTTTGGGGGGGTTCCGTTGTTTGTGGGTTTTTTTTCCATAGAGTCCTATTTCCTTTGTCTTTTCTATCTGAGTTCTCATTGGTAACTTCCGGGCTATGTAAGGCACTGAATGCTCAGGTAAGCCGCATTGTTTGTACAAGTGAACACCTTCTGACCTTGCAAATCTCGTAAACACTGATTGATGCTGAAGTCTAAAGAACATTATTACGAGGAAGTGTTGGCAGCTTTTGGAGACAGACTGCATTCCTTGTAAGGCTGGCTTACATGCAAAAACAGAGTTTCAAAAACTTTTCAAGGTACAGGAGTGATGTAATATGATACATAGGCAAAGATATTTATTTACAAAATAAGCACATGATCATTTCTCTACACGAGGTGAGATTTTCAAAGGGATATGCAGTGCATGCAAGGAGAAGTGGGTAGCCATGCACTTTTGAAAATCTCAGCAAAATACTTCCTTTTGTTCCCGTAACTAACATATCATAGGCCAGATTCACAGCTCATGCAAACAGCCAAAACCTCCACGTACCAGTTTCTACCATGTGGGGATCCATCCCAGCTATGGTGGATGACTAACATGGTGACAGCAAACACTAAAAATTAAGCACGAACGATGACAAAGTAACCCCTTTTATTACAAAATGCAAAGACTTAAGAAATCTGTGGTAAGTTGGGCCACTAACCAGAGCCAGCTCAGCATGGAAGAGGGCTGCATCAGCTGGCCCCTCCTCCTCAAGTGACTGGGCAGTGTAGAAAAAGCAATCTTCCTTAGCAGAGACATAGCCCTCCTCTGGAGAAAGCTGCAGAAAGAACGAAGCTCTGAGTTGGATGAGTGGCCAGGACACAGGGCGTGCAGAGTGTGTTATGTGTGGGGTTTTAGAGGCAAATGAATTCCAAATGCAGCAAAGAGTTCATTTCAATCATAGTCACCATGTTGGGCAGGTAAAGAGACAATCTTTTTTTCAAATTTACCTGAATTGATTCAGCTTCCCATCTCATTTTACAATCCCATGTAATGAAAAAGGCCTATCCAGCTATACCACAAAGCCCACAGCTTAGTCTAAACTCATTTCAATTTCTGCTTTTATTAAACATATACTAAAACTGCCATCAGAGCTGCCACCAGGGAAAAAGCCTAACAGCAGAGGCCTTTACAACCTTGCTAGCCACAGAGTAATTTTGTTAGTGAGCAGGAAGACTGCATCCACTGCCTGTGTTTAAGATAGTATCTGCCAGGTGGAACAGCTTCAAGAGGACAAAATAAAATTCTGACTATAAACCAACAGCTTTTTCCAACATAATTTGATGTTAGGTGCATTCATCCAGTACCGCAAAGAAGCCAGTGATTATTCACAATGTTTAATTAATTGGCAAGCATAATACATGGAATATTGAAGTGCAAATGCTGAACATTTACAAACTGCTGGAAACAGAAACAACCTCCATGTATTTTCTCATTTAGAGTGATATCTTCTTAAGTATGAAAATGTTGATTTGCAAGACATTTTAGTGGGTAATGCAGAGTCTCCAGTAAGAACTGACTTTAACAAAGCAAGTTAAAGAAGTACCCTCTTACTATGAAAAGCAAAGTTTCTAGTAACTTAAATATCAGCCATTCCCCTCCACGCCCTCCACACAGACCTACTAAGAATGAGAATCTGATACCTGCATCCACAAGGACTACAAGATTACCATTTCATGAAAAGCAAAAATGAACCCCAAAGACTGCACTTGGGCTTAAAAATATAGTGAAAGGTATTTTCTTTATATATAAGTACTGATGCCATTCTACTGATTTGAATTTAACACACCAGGGATGCTGGTCCACTAGCTACTTTACTGATACAGTATCTCAGTAACGCTAAGCCTCCTTCAAACTCACTTTCCTAATTGTTACAGACTACCTTCTGAAACCAAGTCTAAAATTATTTATGGCTATACTAAAATAACCAGTTTGAGGTATATGAACTGAAGACTACTCACCATTGCTTAAACATAAAGCGTGCAGCCTAAATACAAAGACTGCATATTTACTATACCTTGCAAAGCAAAAGAACAGGCAAATTCCAGGCAAACCACATAAAGTTGACTTTATGTCACCATCTCACACATTCAGAGAATCTTGTAAGTGCCCAAAATTAACGCCTGGCAACTTGCAGCCCTGAAAGACCGTGCTGGTTGCAGGATGCTTCGCTGTTTTCTCAGCTGCAAGACAGGTGTGCTAGGTCCTGCAATCACTACCCCAGTCATACGCTACACAGGCCACTCCTACATGCAAGGAGATACAGGAATATGTTAAAGATACCTTCTGGATGTTTTAAGCCACCCAGCTGCACCCCAAAGCACAAAAAGTGTATGCAGAAGTCAGGATCATCATCTCCCAGCTTAAACAACATGAAAAGTACACATCGAATTCCCAAATCCTTACAGGCAGTGGTTTGGCAACTCCTATTTTAACTGTTCCTGTTGGGGCTCCTTTCAATGCTTGTACCGCTTCCTCCAGGCTGCCATTTTCCAAGTTGGTATCGTTGACAAACATAAGCCGATCTCCAGGAAGAAGTCTGCCATCTTGCTCAGCCACACCCCCAGGAACTAACGAGCGAATCACAATTACGGTGTTTGCTGGATCAACAGGATCCTAAATACATAAAAGGAAGTAAAATCTTTTGTGTCTTGAGAAGCTAATTTTTACACATGAGCTTTTATTAACCTAACAGAGTTGGATCATTAAAAAGGTTAGAGCTCTGGTCCAGACTAGCAGGAACATATCCTCCTGTCCATACTGCTCACATGTTTAGACTTCCACCTATTCTTAATTCTTAAATGTGAAAATTATTACTCCTTTCTAGGTGATGTCCCATCATATATCTCCAGCACAACATACTGCTAAATTGCAGAATGCTGTTCATACTGTAATGAGTAATTACACACCAGAAATTCAGATACTTCCTAATGCAATGACAGCATTGCAGACTTCATCCTCCCTTACACTCAGTGATTAGGGAATACAACTGGGCAGAGCAGACTGGGGCATAGTTAATACATGCATTCTGGTGGAACAAAGGGCTTATTTTCAATATCTCTCTTACACTTCACAGCACCGGATCTTGCTCAGCTGAGAAAGCACTTTTTAAAAACCAAGTCCTTGTGCATGCTAATTAAACACTTTATGGGAGACAGGAATATATCAGTACAGCACTCTAATAAATAAGACACAACAAAGTGGTGTTTGCTTTTAAAAAAGAAAACTGCTTTGAAGTCTCCATCCTCCAAGGTACTGATTCTTATAAAAATGCTAGCATTAAATAATATCATGGTAACATGAACATATGATTCTGTTATAACAGCTATCACAGGTGCACATATTTGCATGATTCTTATAGAATTAGATTCACAAGGAATATCATTACATGTTAACACTTTCAACATATGGCAACTCACTTGATTGCATGCACAGAAAAACACTAGAAACATAGCAACATACTAGCTTTACTGATAGCATAAGGAAGAGAAAAGCAAACATCTGCAAACTGGCAAGCAACTGTAACAAGCTTCCTGGCCAAGACGTACATCTGAAAGGATGCACTCCATCAAGGCAGCACCCAAAACCACAGGAATTGGAGGCTGCTGAAAGCTAGTGAGAGAGAGTAGCACTGAGGGAGGGAGGGAGCAAAGGACACCAAGAAGATCGTTAACGCTTCATGGCGATTAATGCAGTAAGAAGAATGCCATGGAGCAATAAAACACCTTACAAGTGGAAATACAACTGGCATTGCTGAAGATCATGCTTAAGCCTGAATACTGACACCTTCCTCACTGTTTTAACATCAAGTATTTACACTGTCACTTTAGATGACACTGCATGACACATTTTTTGAAAAAAATCACCTCTCTGGTGTATGTGATAGTCTTCCCTGGGGAAAGAAATTACGCAGACTTTCCTACAGGCCTGTCATTCTATAAAACATGAGGAATGTATTAGCATGAACGTAACTGTCCTTAACTTTAGTTACTGTTCATTGAAAATTAATTGAAGATTTGACGGAAAAAGCAAAATACAAAGATAAATTCCACTGCAAACTTATTGTTCACAGTCTTAGATGAAAGTAGAAACTTCTGTGACAAACTGAAATGCTTTAACCACATGTCAAAGGACAGAACACAGGACAAATCACAAATATTATAACATCAAAAAAAAGGTAAGTTTCAGAAAGCTGACTAGAGTTGTAGCATATAATCAAACTCACATTTGCAAAATTTATAAAGCAATTTAAGGTACTTCCCACAACCCGTCAGTATTACCGTTCATAAACAAAATTCAGTAACCAACCACACAGGCAACCACCATTTGTATCAATGCTTCAGAAGAGGCTGAAGCAAAAATATGCTTTACTTCATGCTGACATGGACTCCAAATACTCAGGCTCAGCTATGGTGTCTCACTGCAGAGCATCATGAGTAACACATTAAAGAGTAATCACTGTTTCATAAAACAGACACTTGACTATGCCTTTATCCTTCAGATTATTAAACTACACTGCTCTTCACCTTTATCAGTGTGCAAATGCAAAATACTACTAAGGAACAGGTTAATTATAAGCAGTGCCCTGTGGGCATAATTTCCACCTGGAAGTGACTTCCAGATGCAAATGTATATACTCTTAGGGACAAGATTCAGCAGAGACCTGGGAGGAGACCAGGTCCTGCAGCACCACCAAACAACTGGGCAAAAGCCTACAATGACTGCAGGGGAAAACTACGTGAAGTCAGTTAAAAACTATCCTGTGTGACAAGTGGGAACAGGAAGAACATTTGCTCTGGAATCCTGATCAAGTGCTGGCAGGACACAGGCACTGAGCTGCTCAGCCGACACTCCAAGAATCACAGCTTGAGATACCCAGAAATTTTGAAGTCAAACACAAAATGAACAGGGGCATTTAGACACATCCTGGACAGACAGCAGCTAAGCAAGGGATTTTGGAACTGCAGTTCTGGATTTTAGTAAATCCGGCTTTAAGCACCTAAGTCCTTTATTGGATCTTGCCCTAAGCACCTCACTGCAAGTGCAAAATACATAGCTAAATGCCTGAATATTCTGACTACATCATTCACTGCCCGTGGGGCACTAGCAGACGAGTTTTCTGAAGACCCTAGTATATTACGGATTATCTATTTGTCTGGACGAGTATTACCATTATCATTAGAACCTGTAGGCTTAATACAGTAAAAGGAATAAGTAATGTAGCTAGTGGGATGCCTACCAGTAGTGATATCCATTTAGCTTTACTGTATCACTTGGTTTCCATCACCATTTACCTTTAAAACATGTACTTAGATCATATATTGTGAGATTGTGCTGGTTCTGGCTGCTGGTCTAGCTTGATCAGTGGAGCATGAGACCTTTAATCCCAGGGTCATGCATTTGAGCCCTACGTTGGGTGCCAAAAAGGACTGTCATGGTTTAACCCCAATCGGCAACTAAGCACTGCACAGTTGCTCACTGTCCCAGTTTGGCTAAAACAGGGCTATT